GGAAATGTCAGGGATGATGGATCGGAAGGGGCAGGTGGGGTCAGCAGAGGAGGGACCACAGGGCTGGAGGGGAAGAGGAACAGAACGGAGGGGTGGGGGGCGCACAGAACAAAGCAGAGACAAAGACCCAAGGAGACAGAAAATTAGACTGAGAGTGGGGAACCCAGAGACTAAGATGCGGGGCCCAGGGAGATGGAGAGAGAGAGACAGGGAGAGATGGGGCGGGGACGGTGCCTGGGGTCAAAGCCTGTTTCCATCCAGACAAAGAGAGACAGAGACAGGAAAAGATGGAGAGAGAGACACACAAGAGACAGACAAGTGGACAGACAGACACACTCAAGACAGGGGGCTGTGCGGAGAGAGGAACCAGGGAGGGAGAGGAGGAGGAGGGCGAGGGAAGGGGAGGGAGGAGGGGAGGAGGGCGAAGAGGGGGAGGGAAGAGCAGAGATGAGACCCAGAAGGCGGCCGCGGAGGCTGGGGAGACGCTGCCAGAGGAAAGCCCATTGGAAGGAAAAGGAGGGAAGGTTCAGGAAGCCGGGAGTGGGGTGGGGGGTGGGAGCTGCGGTCAGCGCCCCTCCCCCGCCTGGGTCAGGCTGGTCCTCCCGGTGGCCTCTGCCGAGCCATGGCTAATGGTATGATTGCTTGGCGGGGTGGCGGGCGGCAGTGACAAATGAGCCACCGGAGTCGCCAGCCCGGGTGATGGATGGGCCCGGGAGGCGGGGGGAGGGGGGGGTCCCCCGCCAAGATAAATGTTTCCCTCTCCCGGAGCCAGGCAGGGGAGGCACTGAGCATTGGGGCGATGTGTCTGTGAAGGCCCTGGGCAGGGCGCTGGGGGGCGAGGGGGAGACAGGGAGGCAGGAGGATGGGAAAAGAAGGGGGGAGAGACACAGAGGCTGAGAGACAGCAGTCCCCAGAGACAGAGAGAGAGATGAACTAGGGGGAGGGAGGGACCCAGAGACCCGCCAGAGAAAAGGACCCACAGAGACAGACAAGAAGAGAGACGTGTGAGACAGACAGACGGACACACACCCAAGACAGAGCCCTCTTTTGGGGCCCCTTCATCCCCACCCCTGAGCAAAGATACAGATCCTGACAGAGAGTCTAGGAGTGAAGACGGAGTGAGAGATGGAGACACCAACGCCGAACTGGGGACATAGGGGAAACTGAGGCAGAGAGCTTGTGGCACCATGACAGAAGACCGGAGAGACCCCTGAGCAGCTCCTTGGTCACTCTGTCCATTGAGGGCTGATCACCGGGATGGCTGGGGGTCCTGGGGATCACAGCTGCCTGGTGGGTGAAGCCCCAGAGACAGCTGAGCTGTGGGTCCTCCCAGGCTGCCGAGAGGTAGGCAGACAAGGGTGGGGATGGACCAGTGTTGGGGGGGAAGCTGGAGGTCCCCCGGTCTACTCTTGGAGGGCTCGATGGGGTAGGGCTGGAAGGTGACACCCCTCCCAGGCTCACCTGGGGGTCTGGGTCCATCAGAGCCACACACCCCCAGTGAGAAAGGCAGACATGCACACTCCCGAATGCTTGGACCCAGGCGTCCAAACAGCACCCTGGGAGCCAGGGCCACACGGGATCAGCAGGAGATGTGGCCATATGGGGTCAGCAAGCGTGGGCCACACCCCCAAGGCTCCAGGCCTGGACCCCACTGGCTCCCTCCTCTGGGACACAGCCTCCGAGGGTCCAAGGACCACTTAAGAGAGGCAGCTCCGCAGAGGAGGGCTGAGGTCTGAGAGAGATGGCACTGGGGTGTGTGTGTGTGTGTGTGTGTGTGTGTGTGTGTGTGTGTGTGTAGACCTTCAGGCTGGGGGCGTGGCAGGGAGAAAACTGCAGGCCCCCTCGCCCCTCCTTCCACCAGTTTTCCAGACACTCCTATGTTCCCCTTGCCAACATTTCACTCCTCTCTTTAATGAAAAAGATTTATGCCCAGGACTCAAGGCCCTCCTCCCTGTTCGGGGGTGCAGCGTCCTCGGAGCTCAGAGCAATGGCAAAGATGACTGCCGTCTCTGTCCCCTGCTGCTCCCCGACTCTTCCCAGCACTGTTTTTGCCTGGCTCCCCGCCCCCCTGGCCTCACTGGGACGCCCCACCCCAGTGAAGACAGTGGCCTCTTGCCTTCTGTCTACACGCTCCCCACTGGGACTGTCACATCAGGCCACACTTCTTGTTTTCAGAATTGAGAGGGGGGAGGGGGGAGCCTCAGCATAACCCCCAAGATGGAAAGGGAGCCTGGGCCCGGACCCCCAGCCCTCCCACCCTGAACCTCAACTGAAGGCAGTGGGCAGGGGGCCGGGGAGGGGGTGGCAGACAGAAGAGCTTTGCATCTTTAATTAAAAAGTGATTTAAATTAATTTTCTGCTCCAAAACCCCTATCTGGGGGGCGGGGTGTGTGGCAGTGATTAAAGGCTCTCTGGGCCCCCTTCCCTTCCGCCTTCCTTAAAGGGCCAGCGTCGCCCAAGGGACAGTTGCTCCGGAGGGCTTTAGGGGCAGTGTCCCTGACACAGGGGCCCCCAGAGTCGGCCAAGGTCCCCAGGTCCTGCCCCCCCCAAGCCCATTGTCCAGCAGATGGGGAGACAGGCTGAGAGAGAAGAGGTGCTGAGAGGGGTCTGGAACCTGGGTGCCTGGGTGGGGGACACCGAGGGACAGTCAGGCTGGGGGCGCTGGGGGTCGGTGGGCCTGGGAGGTTCCAAGGATAGTCAGGGACAGAGAGAGGGAGGGCACGGGACAGAGGGCCAGAGCCAGAGAGGCGGGTTGGGGGGGTGTTTTGGGGTGAGGCTGAGCCCCGGGTTGGGGAGGCAGAGACCTTCCTGGGATGGGGGGGAGCAGGGCTGCGGGCCTCCTCGCTGGCCCTGTCCCAGCGGGAAGTGCTGCTGCCGTCCTCACACTATCCCTCCTGCTGCAGCTCCCCCGGCTCACCCTGGTGGCTAGTTTCCGCGGGAGCAGAGGAGGAGAGGCAGGTTGCCGCAGAGCAGAGCTGTTTATGAGGGTCATAAAAATATCCTTAGCGAGCCCAGCAGGGGTGGGCACGCTGCCTCCGCCCCTGTCTCACTGACTCCCTCTCTCTGGGTCTCTGTCCCCCTCTGGATCTCTGGCCCCCAACTCTGTCCCCCTCTTCCTGGATCTCGTCCCGGCCCCCTTCCTTCTCAATCTCTGTCGTTTCTCTTTGGCCAGGTCTCTCAGGAGTGATGGTAGGTAACTCCTGGGGGTCCAGAGGATGAAAACAAGGGGTCATTTCCCTGGGAGAGCCCATCATTGCGATTTCAGAGAGTTCTCGGGCCTCCTGACACACATTCGCACATCCCCTCAGGAATTTGAGGACACCAGAGGATAAAGACCCCTAATATGGAAAAAGCCAGTGAGACAATGAATCCCAGTGTCTCTCTTCTCCCACCTGCCCTCTGCTCTCCCTGACCTCCTCTCAGTTCCTCCAACTCTCCAGGCACATTCCTGCCCCAGGGCCTTTGCACCTGCTATTCCTCTGCTTCCCACAAGGGTCTTCCTTCGGCCATCCCCCTGGCTCCCTCCCTCACCTTCTTCAGGTCTCTGCTCAGGTGTCACCTCCTGTGAGGGCCTTCACTGTCCAGCTTATATCATCATCTCTGTTCCCGTTGTGCTCTACTTCGGAGCACTTGTCACCTCCAGGCATTGTTTTACACTTACACATTTACTTACTGGTCTACTCCCTCCCCGACCATCCCCAACTGAATGCAAGTGCCAGGAGGCCAGGAAGTTTGTCTTGTTTCCCCGCTCGGTCCAGGACGGCGCCCAGCACACAGTCGCCGCTCCATAGTAATTTTTGTTGCAGAACCCTCTTCTATCTCACTAGAACACTAGCTGCAAAGGCCGTGTGGGTCCCAGATCCTCCAGGACCCAGATAACAACCGCCGACCTGCCCTCCGACAGATGCGGGAGCAGGCACATGATTTACCCTCAGCTCTGGAGGTTCCACAAACTGCACAGAGAGCCTGGGAGACCCTTGTAAGAGGCGGGCGGGGGGTGGAAAACGGGCAGGGGGACACAGGGATGCCTCCAGGCCAACCACCCACGTGCACATACACACGCCAGGCACGGGCTGGCACTCTGACATGCGAGGCCCAGACTGTGTGTGTACAAAGTCAGGTGGACACTCACCCCAGAAACTCCCCATCTTCAGAGACACCAACAACCCTGCAAACACACGCCGGGCCCCAGGGCATAGCACATCCCCGGGCATCGCCCCACAACCAGACAAGCCAGACACATGCGCGCACACGCAGATGGCTTCAGGCCAGGCACAGAGCATCCTCGGCTCCTGGGGGAGAGAAGTTAGGGGGCCCAGAGCAAGAAGAGAAACTAAAATAGGGGGTCTGGTTACTCCCAGCCTCCAGTTCTCTCCTCTGTGTGCTCGTCTCCTAGAGACAGACGGACAGAGACCAAGAGAGAGAGACAAAGAGGGAAGGGCACGGAGAGGAAGGGAGCGGGGACGCGGAGCCGGGCAGCGGGGCCGGGCGGGCGGGCGGAGACCTGTGGCGGCGGCGGGGAGGCCCGCGCGGGGGGCGGGGGGCGGGGGGCCGGGGTGGGGACCCGGGGAGACCCCGACACAAAGGCCGCCCCGAGGGCGGCGGCGCTGGGGGTGGGGGGAGGGAGAGGCGGAGGGGAGGGGAGGGAGGAGGGAGGAGGGAGGGGAGGTGGGGGAGGGAGGGAGGGGAGGGGAGGGCCGCGCGCCCCGCGCGCCCCGCCCGCCCCGCCCGCGGCCCAGCCACCGGCGGACAGCGGGTTAAGCATCTCGATGTGGAACTTCCGGATGTGACCACAGAGAGAGGGAGAGACCGGGAGAGACCGGGAGAGACCGGGAGGCGGGGAGACACCGAGCCGCCCAGCCGCCCGCAGCCCTCCGGCCCGCCGCCGCCGGGACCCCGCGCGGGGAGCCCCCGCCGCCCGCGCCCCCGCCCGCGCCCCCGCCCCGCGCCCCGCCGCCCCCCTCCCCGTCTCCCGGTCCTCGGCCTCGGGCCGCTCCGATCCTCCCGGGACCCGGGGCGGGGGTGGGGGCGGGGAGGGACCGGGGGCCCGCGCCCCCGCTCACCCCTGCCCCCGCCGGCATGAGCCCCTCGCCGTGACCCCCGCGGGGGGGAGGGCGCCGGGGGTCCATGCGCGCAGCCTCCGCGCTGCCCGGCGCCGGCCACTGACGGCGGCGGGGGTGGGGGGGCCGGGCCCCCGGTCTCCCGCCCCACCCCCTGGCGTCCGCACCGCGGCCCGTCGGGGGCCGCTGCCCCGGGCTGCGCCCGCCCCGCCGGCCAGGCCCTGGAGGGACCCGGGAGCTGCCGCCGGCATCAGCCCATGGCCCGGAGGGTAGGTCTGGGGCCGCGCACCCGTCCCGCCCCCTCCTCCGTCTCTTTCTCCGCCTCCCTCCCCTCTCTGCCCCCGGCTCTCCCCTGTCTCTGCTCCGGGTCTCCCCTTCTCTCCACCCCTGGGTCTCCCGTGTCTCTGCTCCGGGTCTCCCCCTCTTTCGGGCTGGGGTCTCTCCCTCTCTCCGGCCGGAGTCTCCCCTCTCTGTCCCCGGGTCTCCCCTGTTTTTGCTCCGGGTCTCCCCCTCTCTCCACCCTGATGTCTCCTCCTCTCTCTGCTCTGGCTCTCCCCGGCTCTGCTCCGGTCCCCCCTCTCTCCAGCCAGGGTCTCCTCCTCTCTCCACCCCTGGGTCTCCTCTCTCTGGGCCCCCCCACCCTGGGTCTCCCCTGCCCCTGGGTGTCCTGCTTCTTGCCGGGTCCTTTCTACCACCCACTTTCCCCTTCTGCCCTCCCCAGTCCTCCCCTCCGGTCTACTTTTGTTCCAAGTCCTCTTGAGGGTTAGGGGTGGGGACAGTGCTGGGGGAGGGGGTGTCTCACAGGCGGGGCCAGAGGTTCTGTCTTCTTTGGTTCTGAGGATGGGGAGAGCAGAGGAGATGAGGCGAGGAGGTGAGTATGCACCTTGGGGGGTGCAGGGGATGGGGACGTGGCAGGATGTCAGGACCCCATTGCCCGTCTTAGGAGGTGCGAGGCATGGCGCGGAAATGTTGGATTCAACTTTGGGGCTCAGGAGAAGTTAGGAGAGGAGGAAGAGAAAGACACGGAGAGAGGGACACACACACACACACACACACACACACACACACACACACACACGGAGCCTTGGGTGCCAGGGTGCCCCAGGGCGGGGATGCCTGCGTCCTTCTGTTGGAGTCTCTGCTTCTCTGAGCCGTTTGGAAGCGCAGGGACAGGGCTTGGCCTGGGTGCCTTAAGGTCCCCCCGGCCTCCCCAGCCTGCGTGCTTGTGTGATGACAGCGCTTCGCTCTGGGCCGATTGCACAAGTGGGTTTCTGCGGTCGTGCGGGTTTACGCTTTGGTTCAACAAGTGTTTGTGGAATATGTGCCAGGCGCTGTGCGGAATGCCTCCTTCCTTCCTTCCTTCCTTCCTTCCTTCCTTCCTTCCTTCCTTCCTTCACGCATGCGCTAAAGGCGTCATTCATTCATTCATTCATTCACCCACTCATTCCTTCATTGCTGTGTCTGGTGTTTGGCTCTGTGTGTGTGTGGGGGGGTGCATTCACATGGCAAGGGGCGTGTGACAGGTTGTTAAGGCACACTCAGATGTGCATATGTGATAACTATGAGATGAAATTGAAGTTGGGGTGGACAGTGTAGACATACATTTATGTATATGTGCTGCCGAAGCGAGCACGAGACATACATTTATGCATAAATGATGTGCTGCTGTTGTGGTAAGTGTCCATGAGTGAGCCTCTCTCTCTCTCTCTCTCTCTCTCTCTCTCTCTCTCTCTCTCCCCCCCCCCCCGTATCTTCTCTCCTCCATCCTCTCTGTCCTCCCCTGTGTCTCTCTCTTGCATCTTGCTCCTAGTCTCTCTCCCCATGCTCTCTCACCTCCTGCCTCCCCTCCTGGCTCCGGGAGGAGCTGGGAGTTACATCAGCTGACCCCTGACCCTTAGACCTGAGATCTGGGTCATCTCTCTCCTCTGGACCCTTCTGCCCACACATCGAGAATCTGGGAGGGGACATTTTTCACAGGCCAGGCATATAAGAGAAGACCCTGGGACAGGGCCTTCAGCTCCACCCCAGCCCCATGGGACGTCCGAGGTCCAAAGCTGGCAGGGCTCAGACACGGAGAATGGAAGGGCTGGCTCTGGGGGCAGGGAGGGGCCTCTCCTGGGTGCCAGGGTAGGGAGCTTTCCTGATGCCTCCTTGGGGATCTCCCCCTCTCGCCTCCCCCCAGTATGATGAGCTGCCCCACTACCCAGGCATCGTGGACAGCACCGCAGCCCTGGCTGGCTTCTCAGAGGCAGTGGCCTCGGCACCGAGAGCCCCGGGGCCCTATGGCCCCCACCGGCCTCCCCAACCCCAGCCCCCGGGCTTGGACAGTGATGGCCTGAGGAGAGAGAAGGATGAGATCTACGGGTGAGTCGGGGCAGGACTGAAGGCTCCGTGGGGTCTTGGGATGCGGGCTCCTTTCTCTGACTTTTCTTGCTCTGTCTTGGTCTCTCCCTGTCTTCCTCTGGGTCTTCTGTCCCTCCCCCCAGGTGCCCCACACTCCGCACATCCCCTCCCTCCCCTCATGAACCTTCTCTCCTGCTTCCCCCAGACACCCGCTCTTCCCACTGCTGGCCCTGGTCTTTGAGAAATGCGAACTGGCCACGTGCTCGCCCCGCGACGGGGCCGGGGCTGGGGTGGGCGCACCTCCAGGCGGTGACGTGTGCTCCTCTGATTCCTTCAACGAGGACATCGCTGCCTTTGCCAAGCAGGTGGGCACCCCCCTCTGCTGTGTGTGCTGGAGGGGGCGTGCAGTGAGCAGGGGTGGGCAGGAGACGGGACGCACCCTCCCGGGATTCTCTCTTCCTCCCAGGTCCGCTCTGAGAGGCCTCTCTTCTCTTCCAATCCGGAGCTGGACAATCTGGTAAGACCTGCACCCTCCCTGATGCCCCTTCCTCCTGTTCCCCCCTCCAAGGCCCTGGGGTTGGTTGTGGTCACCTGTAGAGAGGTCACCTAACACGCTTTTTCAAACAGCTATCATTGTTGCCCATTTGCAGTGAGTCTAGCCAAGAGCTTGAGAACGGGGATGGATGGCCTGGCTTCCAATCCGAGCTCTGCCACTCACTAGTTCTGTGACCCAGGACATGGAGCTGCATCTCCCCGTGCCTCAGTTTCCTCCTCTGTAGCTAGGAGAGATTCCTGTCTTGTAGGGCTGGTGTGAGGATAAAATGAGCTAACAGGAGTCTGGCACTTAGAACAGCGCCTGGCACAGACCAAGGACTCAGTAGGCATTTAGCTGTGCTTCACCCGGGACAACCGAGCCCACGCCGGGATGGGTGCGGGACGAGTGCAGGAACAGGGCTGCAGAGGGGAGAGGACAGAGGAGAGGGACAGGGAAGGAGAAATACCCCCACTTCTCCCTTTCTTTTGCTTTCTGGCTCCCGCCAGGGCTTCCTATTGGCTGAGCCATTTGGCAAAGGACTCTGGGAAATGTAGTTTACAGTCAAAGTGGGAAGTGGAGCAGGGGGCAGGGGGCTAAGATGGGGTATTATAGCGGGACTTCATTCACTCCTCGCAACGGATCCTTTCCTGTCTCTTCCACCTCTTGCTTCTCTTTCTTTGTCTCTGACTCTCTCACGTTCCATCTTCCCTTAATTCTGGGTCTCTGTTCTCTGTTGCTCTCTGCGCCCCCCCTTCTGTCCCTCTCTGCCTCTCTGTCCTCTGTCTTTGTCATTCTAACTCACTCTTTCCCTTCCTCCCTCTCCTCTCACCTTCCTCTTCCCCTTGTCCTTCACCCTCTTTCTTTCTTTCCTTCCCTCCTCCCCAACCTCCTCCTCTCCCTCCTCCCCTCCCTCCTCCTCCTCTTGTCCTTCTCCCTCTCTCTCCTTCCCTCTGCCCCTCCCTCCTCCCCTCCTCTGTCTCTTCCCATCTCCATCTCTGTTTTCAGATGATACAGGCCATTCAGGTGCTCCGCTTCCACCTGCTGGAGCTGGAGAAGGTGAGTGCTTCTCACTTCCCCTCCCACCCTCGCCTTCCCCCCCATCCCTCCCCTTCTCACCCCTTCCACCCCTCCTTCAGGCTCTCTGCCCACTGGAGCTGGAGCAGAATGCTGCCCCCACCCCTGTACACCCCAGCCCTGGCCCCCGGGTGGCCCCCCCAGTACCCCGGTGCCCCCTCAGGTCCACGACCTGTGCGACAACTTCTGTCACCGCTACATCACCTGCCTCAAGGGAAAGATGCCCATCGACCTGGTCATCGAGGATCGGGATGGCGGCTGCAGGGAGGACCTCGAAGACTACCCGCCCTCCTGCCCCAGCCTCCCAGATCAGGTGTGGATGGGGTGCCGGGCATCACCCCATGACCAAAGCCCTGAGCAGACACAGCCGGGCTACTGCGTGAAGGAGCGTACGCGCCCCCAGCCTCAGGCAGCCACAGCCAGACATGTGTGAGCACGGGGCACACGCCAGCGATGGCACAGCTACACAGACCTGAACACAGCTGGATGGCAGTGCGCGCACGCACGCACACACACACACACACACACTCCCATAGACTCAGCTACACCCACACAGCGTCAGACACAGCTACACAACTCACTGACGGCCATTCTCACTCACAGCTAGACAACAGCACGTACCACACACTCAAACACACACATCCCAGGCGCGTAACAGCGTCACACAGCACATCACCTGACTGAGCACATCCTGTGTGTAGAGCACATCCAGCCACACAACAACCACATGGAGGGAAATGGAGCCAAGCGGCCCCAGATCCTGACATGCAAACTCAGACATGGCCACACTCAGACCCAGGCCTCCACGTGCTCATACACGTGGCACCCTCCCCACATCACAGCTGGACTGCGGCCCCGGGCACACGCACCATGCCACCCAGCAGCCCAAGCCCCAGAGGCAGATGGATGAGTTTTGTTGACAATCCCATAAACAGCAGCGCAGATCCTGTATTTTTTTTAAGATTGTATGTATTTATTCATGAGAGACACACAGAGAGGCAGAGACACAGGCAGAGGGAGAAGCAGGCTCCCTGCGGGGAGCTCGATGCAGGACTCAATCCCGGCACCCCAGGATCATGACCTGAGCCGAAGGCAGATGCTCAACCACTGAGCCATCCAGGCGTCCCAGCAGCACAGATCCTAAACAGGGCCACCCCCACATGGTGGTCATGCTACCAGCACACACAGCAATGATACAACATGACACCTGCACCCAGACACAGGCACGCAGTTGTACTGCACATAGACTCAGGCATGCTGGACACAGCAGCCACAGGGACCCTCTGGCCCACATGTGCCCCGTAATCTGCACATGCTCCACTAGAGCCCCCACTCAGAGACATAGCCATACTCCGTATCTTCACCCGGCCTCCCATACACACCCATGGCAATGGTCCAGCCCGATGGAGTCACAAAGCCTCCTGTGCGATAACCACACACACTGTCTCACAAAGAAGACAGCCATAAAAAAAAAAAAAAAAGAGGACAGCCAACCCCTCAAACAACAGCCACGAACTTAGAAAAACATGGCCCACACAGCCACTTGGCCATCTCAAAGGGGACACAACTACGTATCAGTCCCATTGTGTGTCTCAGCTCCACGCATGTAACTCTCAACCATGCCACAGCCACCTCTTCTCTGGGACAACCATGCCATCTCGGACACAGGCACAAGCACACTGACATGCACCACACAGCAGTCTCAAGACAGCATCAGGCACACTGATGGGGAACAGCCGGAGGTGACGGTGGCAGCCAAGCTCAGGAGCCTTCAGTTTGCACATCCGTCCACCATGCACTGACACACACAATTCCACACAGACATACCACACCTGGAGAAGCCTTCTCTGAGCTTTGGCATCTCTAGCTCTGCCCCTGCAGGACACAGATGATGCAGCACCCGGCAGTGGGCCATTTCGGGCAGGGCTGGCAGGGTGGAGGGCAGTCAGCAGGGCAGGTGGGGTACTGGGTCTGCCTCTCAACAATTGAACTGTTGGAATTGATAAAGGAATTGATCCTTTAACCAAATGACAAAGAGGTGTTGATGCAGTCTCTGGGGGGGCGGGGCAGCCTCCCTAGGACACAGAGCTGGGCCCTGGGCGGGCGGATCCAATGCATTGTCAAGTTCCTCAAAATGTATCAGAGTTTGGACTAAAGAAAGTGCAACCCGAACTGCCCCCCTTCATCCATCTGCAATTCAGAGACCCACCCCCCATCTCTGAAAAGTGAAAGTTGTGTTTTATCCCCTAGAAGTTTAGTGCAAACTCATTTGGCAGCAAAGTCTGACCCGAACTAATGAGAGGCTATTTATAGCCTTTATTTATTCCACTCAGTTAAATATTCATCCATTTTGCTGCAGAAATGTTAATGAGTTCGATGACGAGGTTAAGCCCCGGCCCCCGCTGGGGGTGTTATGAACTTCTTCGGAAGCAGGGATTTACTGTCTATAGCTGGCAAGGGTTCCAGGGGCGCCCCGCTGGCTCCATCCATAGACCAGGTGACTCTTGATCTTCAGGGTCATGAATCTGAGATTACTTTTAAAAATAAATAAATATGTGAAAAGTTCTGAATTCTGCAACACTGCAGGCCCAGGATTTCAGATAAGATGCCGTGGACCCGTATAAGCACATCTTTACTGGACAATTACAATGCGCCTTTTTTTTTTTTTTTTTTTTTTTTTTTTTTTTGTGCTGAAACCCAGGATCAAAACTTTGCGCTTTTTGGTTGTTTTTTTTGTTTTGTTTTGTTTTGTTTTGTTTTTAAGATTTTACTTATTTATTCATGAGAGACACAGACACAGGCAGAGGGAGAAGCAGGTTCCCTGGAGAGAGCCCAATGCAGTACTCGATCCCAGGACCCCGGGATTGCGACCTGAGCCAAAAGCAGACGCTACACTACTGAGCCACCCAGGTCCCCCAAAGCTTTGTGCCTTTGATGTAAACCAGCTCACTGAGCCCTTACCACGCTCTGTGAGGTGGGGACAGGTGTTGTCCTCTGTTTTCCAGTTGAGGAAACAGGCACAGAGAAGCGAAGCACATTGCCCAAGGTCACAGCCAAGAAAGAGGCAGGGACAGGCGTTACCCTCAGGGGTCCCAGCTCCGGAGCCCACGGCCTCAGCCACTGTGCTATCTAGTGCCCCCAAGCCTTGGCACTGACCTCCAGCTCTTGTTTTCCAGAATAATGCATGGATTAGAGACCATGAGGACAGCGGATCTGTACATTTGGGGACCCCGGGTCCATCCAGTGGGGGCCTCGCCTCCCAGAGTGGGGACAACTCCAGCGACCAAGGTAAGAAGCCTGGGAGGTGAAGGGGAAATGTGGAGGTCGGTCTGAGGATTGAAGTTAGACAGCAAGTAGTATTTCCAGAGGCGCGAGGACGACTGGAGTGTGGAGTGCTCTCTTGGAGGAGGGTTCTGGGTCCCCCTGGCCTCTTCCCTCACTGCCCACAAGCACAGCATGCCTATCCCCCCTCAGGAGACGGACTAGACACAAGTGTGGCCTCTCCAAGTTCTGGGGGAGAGGACGAGGAGCTGGACCAGGAGCGGCGGCGGAATAAGAAGAGGGGGATCTTCCCCAAGGTGGCTACCAATATCATGAGAGCCTGGTTGTTTCAGCACCTCTCGGTGAGAGCCCTGGGGCCCAGATGCAGGGTGGGCATAGGGTGAGAAGGAAAAGGATGGCTGCACAGAGGCCGAGGCCCTGAGAGAGACCCAGAGATGGGAGACTGAGGCACGGGGGCGGGGTATTGAGGGTGAATCTCAAGCGGGGAGAGCTTCTGTGAGTGCAACCTGTGGTGCTTCTAAAGGCTCGAAACTCACCCAGTCCTGCCCCCAACCCACCCGCCCCCCATCAGTCATCACCAAATAGAGCCTATGATGGATGGGGCTGTGAGGAGTAGGTGGGGAGCCTAGTGGTCTCCTAGCCAGAAGTGGGTGAAGATGCAGGCAGTTTAGCCCTAACCAGTGCACCACGCTGCCTCGCGGGGAGAGCCGGGAAGATACAGACAAGAAGAGAGTCGTGGAGTCAGAGGGACGGGGACAGGGACAACGAGAGACACGCACAGACCGGGACCCTGACCCTGACGGAGACTCAGAGAACCCTGAGCTTCGGTCTCCCTAATGAAGCCGGTCAATTAGCATCTAATTGTTGGAAGAGGCGGGGGCGCCCACAGGCATAATTGCCCGAAGCTTGGCTCCACTTCCCTCCACTGGGCCCTGGGGGAGCCTGGAGCGGCTCAGACCTCAGACGAGCTGGCTCTCCAGGCCCTGCTCCAGCCTAGGCTCACCATCCCCACGGGGCCAGGCCTTGGGGCTCAGGTGGCAGGCTGGGCAGGCAGGGTGATTCTTGCTGGTGGCCACAGCACCCATACCCCTCGGAGGAGCAGAAGAAACAGCTGGCGCAGGACACGGGGCTCACCATCCTGCAGGTCAACAACTGGTGAGCAGCGCGGGAGGCTTGCGCGGGTCGCCGAGCCCCCAGTCCCGGGCGGGAGGCCGGGCGCTGTCCGCGGTGCTGAAGGAGGCTCCCGAGGCCCTGGGAGCCTCTCCGACCCCCCGCCCCATCCCGGTCCTCTCCTTCCAGCTCTGTCTACGTGTGTTCATTTCTGCCTCTCCCCTACTTCCTCTGACACCTTCCTTTTATTTCCATAACCCTCTCCCAGGTTCATTAACGCCCGGAGACGCATCGTGCAACCAATGATCGATCAATCCAACCGCACAGGTACAGGGAGAAGCTGGGGAGAGAGGGCCTAATGCTCTCCGGGGACGTATCAACGCTGGGACCCGCCTATCCAGGGTCTCAGCCTGCACCCTCCACCTCCCTGCCAGGGCAGAGTGCAGCCTTCAGCCCAGAGGGCCAACCCATGGGGGGCTACACGGAAGCTCAGCCACACATGACTGTCAGGCCTCCAGGTAAGGCCCTGCCCCTTAGCTAAGCCACGCCCCAACACGCCAGGCCCCGCCTCCAAATGAAGGTTCCCCCACCTCCTGGGATTAAGTGCATGAGTAATACAGTAATTCACTTGCATAACTGTGGAGCTGGAGAGGTGATCGTAGATTTCCTGATTCCCACTTTTTCCGAGCTGAGTTTGCTCCTTCCAGGTCTGCCCATCCATTGGAAGGCTCTACTTTTCCTTAAAGGACTAGTACCTTTTTTAAAAAATACTTTGTTTATTTTATTTTAGGGAGTGCACGCACACGAGGGCAAGCAAGGGCACCCCTGTGCACATGAGTGGGAGGAGTAGGGGAAGGGAGCAGCAGGGGGTAGGAAAAAAACAGACCCTGCATTGAGTGCAGAGCCAGATGGAGAGCTTGATCTCACGACGCTGAGATCATGACCTGAACTGAAATCAAGAATCTGTAGCTCAATCGCTCAATCGACTGAGCACCCAGGCACCCCAGGACTAGTACTTTCTTAAATGATGACTCAGTGTGTCCTGATAGAGGGATTCCCTGGGGAAGGAGCAGGTGGGAAGGGCATATGGGGATGTCTGGTGAAGAACCACAACCCTCCTCTTCTTGTCTTCCAGGGTCGATGGGGATGAGTTTGAACCTAGAAGGAGAGTGGCATTATCTATAGATTCAGGACAAGTGTGAGTGTCCAATGTCTAGGGATTCTGGGTTAGGGGTTGTGCAGCTCTCAAACTTTGGTAAGACCTCCAGATTCCAATATTGGGCCCCTCCAGAGCAGGATCAGCATGGGTCCCTGAACTGAGGGTTCTCCAAGGCTTCATGGGAAGATGATCCATCCATCCATCAATCAGCTCATCCATTTGTCTATATATTTATCCACCCATCAATCATCCATCTACCCACTATCCATCCAAACATACATCCACTCACTGTCCATTAATCTATCTACCCACCTACCCATTCATCCATCCACCTCTATACTGATCTGCCCACCCACACATCCACCCACTTAACCACACATTCACTTACTACCCACCTACCCATGAGCCATCCATGCATCCATCAGCCAGTTGTCATCCATCAGAAAATGCATCAACCCATTCATCCACTTACGTCCACCCACTAATATGTCCACCTACCATACTGTCACCCATCTACCTACCCACCCAATCATCCCCACATCTATCCATTCATACATCTCCAACATATATTAAACCCTCATTCGATATCCTGACCATAGCCAGGGAGGGTCCTGGTCTTGAGAAGATTTGGGCTTTTGAGGAAATGGACATCAGAAAGGAATGACAGTCCAGAGCAACAGCTGAAACAATAAAACACAGCTTGTTCAGAGGAGGGAGACATCATCTATCTCTGAGATATCAGGAAAGACTTCATAGAGGAAGTGACTTCTGTTTTGGGCCTTGAAGGATAAATATGAGTCCACTGGGTAGAAGTGAGGGGCAAGGAAGTAGGGTACATTCATTTACTCCCCCAGGTCTTAAAACTTTAGAGCATCTTCTCAGTCTTCATAAAAACCCCAAGAGGGAGAAATTATTATTTTCACGTTACAGATGAGAAAATTGATGCATAGAAAGAAGAGGTCACTTGTACAGGTTCACTCGGTTCAGAAAAGCCAAGGGAATAGCCTGTGCAAAGGCCCAGGGTTGAGAGGCTGCCTGGAATTTCTAAAACGCAAATCAGATCTTGAGCCCCTTTGGATTAAAGCTCTTCTGTGGCTCCCTTATGCCCTCTAGATGAAGTCCAGAGTCTTTAGTTTAGCACCTCTTCATTCTTTCATTCATTTAATACACATTCCCTGAGCACTTCTGTGCCTGCCCTGTGCTGGGAACATAGCAGTGACCATGACAGACCAGCCCTGCCCTCACGGGGTTCACTGTCCAGTGGGGGAGACAGACCTGTCTTTGGACAGTGATGACCCAATGTAGGCAGGGCTGGGATGAAGGAACTCAGGGACTGGAGGAGCCCAGAGTGGTCATCAGACCCAGGATGGAAGGTTTAGGGAAAATGTCCTGGAAGAGGGGACTTTGGAGCCAAGACCAGGAGAATGGAAGGAGGCGGGAAAGGAGGGAATTGTATATGCAAAGGCCAGTGCGCTTAGCAACCTCACAGCTATGAGACGGCCCCCCTGCCCCTGTCACCACTGCATGAGGGGGAAGGAGGACCAAGCTGAGCTGGCGCCAGCAGGCTGGGTGGGTGAATAATGAACTCAGGGCCAACAGAAAGTCTGGGAGATGGGAGCAGAGACCTAGGAGGGCTTGGGCACCCAGGGGCACGAGGGCAGGAGCCTGGGAAGGAGAGATGGACATGTTTGTTCAGGGCCCGGCAGGTCAGTGGGGGTCTCAGCTCTGCCCTGGTCAATCCAGGACAGGTGTGGCCTGGTCTGAGTGCCAGGGGACCTCAGAGATCAGAAGAGGTGGAGGGGGTTCTCAGTCTCTCTCCTTGTCTTCTTTTCTCTTCCTTGGTCTTAACTGTGCCGTGGGGCCAGGTCCCTCCACACTTCCTGACTTGACCTCTCGTCCCCTCTCCACAGACCCCAGCGTCCGGACTGTGACCACCAGGCTCACACCTTGTTCCAGTCCCCACCTGGTTCCCGACTTCAGGACCCCACCTCCTAAGGCCCCCCAATGCAATGCCTACCTCCCTGGGGCCCTGCCGGGACACGGGGGCCTGAGCGCCCACTTGAGGGTCTCTCAAGGACAAAGACAAGGCCTTCAGGCCCTGCACCCTGCTTCTGCCCTCACCTCTGCCTGGAACCCAACCTGAGCTCCTGGGCCTGGGTCTTCAGAAGATGGTGGCTGGGGGTCCCCCACCTCCAGGCTGCAGAAGAGACTGGCGGTGGGCTGGGGAGGTCAGGGAAGGAGGGTCAGCCGGATCCGACATTTGGGAGAGGTCCCCTGGTCCTCCTAGCCCACTCCCTGCCCTTCTCTCCCCCTACCTCCCTTCACTGATGTCTTCTACGTTTTTTTTTTTTTTTTTTTTAATGATAAAGTCTTAAAAACAAAAAAGCCACCGACCTGAGTTCTTTCTCTTTGGAGATTCCAATTCTCATCAATTTGAAGCTCATGAATTACCAATTATAATAATAATTAGATACTCTTTACCCCCACGCTCTTCTGACACACAGTATCAATTGGCTATGGCTGTGTAACAAACCACCGCAAAGCTTTGTGGTTCAAAATGCCACCTACTTTTTAGCTCATTATTTTACCCGGTTGGTATACGAGGCTCTGCTGGGCGGTTCCTGTGATTTCAACAGGGCTCTGCTTGTGTATCTGTGGCCAGAGATGGGTCAGCCCGGGGGTGACCTTGCTGGCCGGCCCCAGGGGCAGCCCCAGGCCAGCCCCAGGGGCAGCAGGGGTGACCTTGACAAGCAGACTGTCCAGTTTATTCACACAGAGGCTCGGTTGGACCACAAGAAAGCACAGGCCTCCTGAGGCCCCCAGCTCAGGTCTGACACCAGTTATCTCTGCTGCTTTCACTTGGCCACAGATTTCAAGGCCAGCCCAGATTCAAGGGAGGAGACATAGACTCCACCCCTTACAGGGCGGGGAGGGGGGCTGCAAACTCACAGCACAAGAGCTGGGGTCACTTTTGCATCAGTCTCCCACACTGTGGCTCACAGATGACTTTCTTCATCCGTCCCATGGGGCATAAACACAGTTACCCAGGGCTGTCCTTGGAAACACTCATGCGTGGCCAACAGGCTGGACTGCAGGGAAGTCATGAACCTAGACTCCAGCCCAAGCTGCCTGGGTTCAAATTCTTGCTTTGCTCCCATCCAGCTCCGTGATACTCCCTTGGACTGAGCAAATCTGAGCCTAGAAACGTGAGACCCGCAGAGCCCACCTCCAAACACCACTCACTCACATACTCATCTTTTTTTTTCTGTTAAGATTTTAAGAGCATGTGTCTGAGTGGTGGGGGAACCAGCAGGGCAGAGGGAGAGGGGGAAGAAGGAACAGACACCTGCAGTGAGCCTGCGTGGGGCTCCACCTGAGGACACTGAGACCCTGACCTGAGCCAAATTAAGAGTCTAGGCTCCAAAAAAAAAAAGTCTAGGCTCCACCCACTGGGCCACGCAGGCACCCCTCACATGCTCACCTCCTAAGATACAGCAGCCTCTGGACCCTCATAATGCAAACAGGGAAACTGAGGCCCAGTTAGGCCTGTGAACCACAGAGGCCTTCACCCTCGCCAAAAAGGTGCACGGAGATCAAACTGCCCTCACAGGAACCTCAGCTGCTGCCAACTTCAAGAACTGACAATTTTGCTGTTTTGTTCCCAAGACGCCGTGGAGCTTGGTGCAAACTGAGTTGGATTTGGACCCTTGCTTGTGTAAAATACCACAGTCCCCCTCTCTGGTCTCCGTCCCAGCTGCGCAAGGATGCAGGAGCAGCCAAACCAAAGCACCCCCCTTCCAGCTGCTGCCTGGGATCGCCCCATTTTAACATCTCCCCTCACTCCCCCAATTCTCTTGGCCAATCATTTGCCTGTTTCATTATCGGGTTGAACCTCAGCGCCGCCAGCACCCGGTGTGCAGCAGGTGCCCAGGGAACCACAGGTGGAGGGCAGAGAAAGAGTGCAGTTGAGTCGCATTCACTCCGGCCACAGGTATCTCCAGGTCCTCCCCGCAAGTGGCCCAGCAAATGAGCGCATGCTTTACTTTATTTTAAAGATTTTATTTATTCATGAGAGATACACAGAGAGAGGCAGAGACCCAGGCAGAGGGAGAAGCAGGCTCCCTGCGCGAAGCCCGATGTGGGACTCGATCCCAGGACTCCAGAATCGTGCCCTGAGCCAAAGGCAGACGCTTAGCCCACGGAGCCACCAGGGGCCCCAGAGCGTGCGGTTTAGACTGCGAAGTGACAGGATAGTAGAGCAGGGCGGAGGTGGGGGAGGCGGTCACCTGCTGCGGGCTGCCTGCCAGGCTCTGTGCTAGGAGCTGCACACCTGCCAACCTGGTAGCCTTCACCACTGAGAAAGTACGATCACTGTCCCCATTTCCCAGATTAGGAAACTGAGGCCTAGAGGTGAAATGCCCCGCCCGCGGCCCCCCCGCCCCCCCCCCCCCCCCCCCCCCCGCCAGGGTCACACAGCTGGAGGCCGCGGATCTCGGTTCAGACACCTCCTTGAGGGCAGGTGGGGGGAGGGCCCGGGGCGGGGGCGGGGGGAGGCCAGGTCGGCCGCCGGGGGAGGCCAGCGGGCGCTACCTGTTGGGGGAGGGGGGACCCTGGACGCCCGCGAGTGGGGGAGGGGCAGCTCCCCTCCCCCTCCTCCACCTGCTCGGCGACTGGAAATGCCTCTCGCTGCATCCTCCCTAATTAAACCAATTGGCTGTGCCACCGGGGAGGAGGGAGCTTGGGCGGGGGTTAATTGTAACTAAAAATACCTCCCCCGTTTCCTGGGGTGAGGAAGCAGCGGCCGGCCGGGGTTCGGCCCGGGGAGCGGGCGGGGCCGGGCGGCGGGGCCTGTGTCTGCACCGCGCGCGTGTCGCGGGCGGCCGGCCGGGTCCCGGCTGCGGCTGTCCCCCCCGCCCCCCGCCTCCGTACGGGTCGCCGTCGGGCTGGGGCCGTGGCAAAGCGGGTCTCTGTACCCAGGGCCGCCCGGCGTGAGTCCGAAGCTCCTGTGAGCTCCTTTCCAGGGCAGCACGACCCGGGGGCCTCGCGGCTCGGAGGCCCGTGAACGGGGGGCCGGCAGTGAGCCCGGGCTCCCTCCAGGGGGCGCTGGGGAGCCGCGCAGGCGGTTGATTGTTCGGAACCGCTGTTTTGAGATGTTAATTCACTCCCTACACCCTCGCCTTTAAAGCGTGCAGTTCGGTGGCTTGGGGGTTCAGAGCTGTGCGGCCGTCACCACATCAGCTGTAGGACGTTTCCACACCCCAAAAGGAAACCTTCTACCCCCCCCCCCCGACAGCCACGCTCCCGCCACCCCGACTCCCAACCCGGGCGGCTACCGATCCACCTCCTGGCTCTGTGGATTTGCCTGCTGTGGGCGTTTCACAGGAATGAAATCATACACTATATGTTTTTATTTTTTTATTTTTTTAACACTTATTTATGTTAGAGACGGGAGAGGGGCGGGGAGAGAGCCTCCAGCAGACCCCACGCTGAGCGCAGACCCCATGCGGATCCCATCTCAACCCTGGAGTCAGAGCCTGAGCCCACACCAGGAGTCCTACCTTCACCAACTATGCCACCCAGGTGCCCCCGCTCTTGCGTCTGGCTTCTTTCACTCAGCGAAGTGTTCAAGCTTCATCCATGTTGTAGCCTGTCTAGTGCTTTGTTCCTTTTTGTGGCTGAATATGATCCCATTGTCTTGGATTTTGAGCAAAGAGAGTCCGGTTTGTGCTTTGCGCTGAGCAGCCACGCAAAGGGCGGGTTACCAGGGGTGATGTGAGTTGGGTTGTGTCTGCCAGAAAGATATACTCAAGTCCTAACTCCAGGACCTGCGACTGTGACCTTATCTGGAGATTGGATCTTGGCAGATGACCCAGTTAAGATGGGGTCATTGGGTGGAAGAAATTGAAAAATCAATTATTTTTGAAATCAAGTATTGAAAAATACTTGGTTTTTCAATTTTGGGGGGAAATTTCACTACACACATGACATATATTTTATATATAAAGGACTATATATATTATATAAATACATAAGCCATATATAAAAACTTTATTAGGTAAACTCTACACCCAACCTGGGGCTCGAACCCTTGACCCCAAGATCAAGAGCTTCACGCTCTACCAACTAAGCCAGAGGCTCCCTATACATAATAAAAAGAACTCTTTCAAGTCAATACAACTCCTTTATGAGTCAAAATACTGAATATAAATTATGAAAAGTAGATAAACAAATGGCTAATAAGCCCATGAAAAGATACTCGGCCTCATCAGCCATCATGGAAATGCAAGCACAATCACAATAAATAACATTAGCATGGCTAATCGAAGCTCTCATGCGTGGCTGGTAGGAGCACACGTGGCTAAAATGACTTTGGAAGATGACTGCCAAGAAGCTACTAAAACTGAACCCGTATGTGTCCAGTGACCCAACGACTCCACCGAAACGCGGATGTGTTCACCAAAGGCCACATGGACCGTGTGTTCCTAGGGGCATCATCACTGTAGCTGGCTCCCGGCCAAATGCCCATCAGCAAAGGAGCAAATTAAATAAAGTGTGATGAATTCGTGCAACAGAATGAATAAACCACAGCTCCACGCAACATGTTAGCAGGATATGCCAGACACGAGAGAGACCATTTTTATGAGGTTCTAGAACGGGCAATGCTAGGTGATGGCGTTAGAGGTCAGAGCGCTGGTGGCCCTGGGAGCCCCCCCACACTGGGCGGTGCTGGGGAGCAGGAGCCAGGCTGCAGGGGGGGTGCTGGTCATGGTTTGTGTGGATGCTGGTGGCACAGGCATGTTTCGTGTTCTGGGAAAATTCACCAGGCTGTTCATTGATGATTTGTGCACTTTCCTCTGTGTTATGCTTCGAGAGAAAGTTTTTAAAGGGTTGTTGAGTGAGTGCACATACACTTTGCATTTTGAGAGATGCTGCGAAATTGAAGTTGTACCAAAGTCCCCTCAGGGTAGCTCGAAGTACCCCTTTCTCCACATCCTCCCCGCAGGGAGCTCTTGAATTTGAGCCAATCTGATGGGTGAGAAGTGAGGTCTCCAGGAGCTTTACTTCATGCAGCTGCGAGAATGTCCAGGCCCCAGACCTACCCAGAGTTTTGGGGCGGGTTTCAGAACAGACCTCTTTCCCCCCGGGGTGACTGATGGATAATAAGAACTTCTGGTGCTGTTCAGGGCCATAAAATTCCCCCTGGGTGGGTGGGTGGGACTGTGACCCCTGGCTCCTCTGTTTGGGCAAATGCCCTGGTGGCCATATGTGGGTATTAAGAGTTTTCTCCCTTCTTCTAGAAGGTCCCTTCAGACCCCCCTAGAATGGTTTTTTTGGGTCAGAGCCCAGGAGATGCTTAAGGTTTTTTTTGGCAGGTACTGGCGAGCTTCCATCTTCAGCACATCCCTACCAGTGTGTGTGTATGCAAGCACACGCACACACATAAATCAAAAGAACTGTTTCTTGCCAGTGGGACATTAATTTATGTGTTAACACGAAAAAGAAGGAAAAGAAGGAACAGTTCCAACAAGCTGTAATGTTCTTAGGAGATTTGGCTGGACACTGGGTGGGAGAAGCTCTGAGGTTAGTTTCTCTCATAAACCACTTATTTCTCTATTTTTAATACTATGCATCAGGGAAGGCATTTTCTGGGGTCATAACAAAAGAGAGACTTGACCACCAAAAAATTTTAAAATATTGAGTAAAGGTCACCATACATAAAGCCAAAAGATAAGCAGCAAAGAGAGACAGATGTTCGTCACGTCTATGACTCTGAAGATCCAGAATATATAAAGAGCTACTACAAACTAATAACAAAATGACAAAGAGTCTAGGACTTGAGCCACCAGAAGAGGAAATATAAATAGCCCGGAATATGCAAAGATGCTTAGGTTTACTGGCAATCAGGGGAAATAAAAATATAAGCCCCTACAGCCTGGATGGAAGACAGGAGAGTCTATCAAATAACTTATTAAAATGTACCTTTCTTTGGGCCAGTGATTCTACCTCCAGGGATCTATCCTGCAGATACACACATATCTGTGACCCACGTGGCAGGATATTCATGCCAGCTTTCTTTGTAGGAGCAAAAGATTGGAAACAGCTTAGATGTCTCTCCAGATGGGCCTGGCTAAATAAGTTTGGCCCTTCCATGTACCCGGCCGCTATACAGCCAGGGAAAACAAGGAGCCAGGTCTGTAGCAATACAAAAAGGTCTCCCAGAACAGTGCCTGGCACACCGTCAGCATGGAGTGTTGGCCACTATACCAGGAGGCATGCAGTTCCTCTTGTCAGTTGGCCAGAAATGCAGGTGGTTAGAAAGGAGTGGAAGCTCGCGGTCTGTGCCAAGGACTCCTCACAGATGCTCTTACCTTCTGACCCACTAATTGCCCTCTTGGGAACGCGCCCTGAGGAAAGGGCCGGAAGTTTGGGGAGAGGCATAATGCAGAGGCCGGTCCCCCAGAGCGCCGAGCAGAATGGAAGGAAACCGGTCATGGCCCCGAGCAGGCCCGGCCACTCACCGAGGGGACAGACGCGCGGTAATAACCGGGACGTGTTTATGCTCAGATGCTTTGTGGAAAGAAGCAAACAGGATCTGCCGCCGACCACGCGGCGCTCATCAACCAGCCGGTGCCCGAGTCTTGGGTGCGTGTGGGGGATTCCAAGGGATTCTTTTCTTCTTACTATTTCCAGCTTCTCTGAACCTTCTAGAACAGGGGAAATCTTTTTAAAAATGGGATTTCAGAAGTGGACAGAGATTCCTTGGTGCATCGAAGGCGTCTGCTGTCACGCTATTTGGAAAATTAAAAACAGAGAACCCGTCCACATAGCCAACAGGAGGCCCCGGGTTTTCACAGGTGAGAGGTCTACACTTGGGGCGGTTCACCGCCATTTGTAGAGTCAGCCTTCGGCCGAGTGCTCAATGATCCTGGGAAACACTTAGGTCGTTCTCGGGGAGCTGTTACACGGCCAAGGGCACCGCAGGACCTTGACCAGTTTGTAAATATCTGGAAGCGCATGCGCAGAGGAAGGTGTGCGGAGCTGCGCCCCGAAGGTGAATCTGGTGGATTCCTGTCGTCCTCCTCCCGTCCCGTGTCTGCACCGTCCAGGGGCGGCCTCCGTGCTGTAGATCTTCCGTGCTGCGGTCCTGGGGTCACTCCCAAAGACCGGCCCCAAGCCCGCCGCTCCACCTCCCCGGGTGTTGTCAGCACCCCCCTCATCCCCCTACAAAACCCCTTCCTGTTTCAAACACCTGGCGTGGCTTCTATCCGGGCTCTGACCCCTGCCCCACAGCCCCAAAGCCATGCTCTGCTCCCGCACTCAGGGAGAAGAAAATACGAGGGCAAGATTTCTGTATGAAAATGAAGCCTCTGGGATAAGTGGACAGTTGGGCTATGCTTTTTTGGGAGAAAAACAGTAGAGCAGAGAGGTCGGGGGGGTTTACCCAAGGCCACAAGGTGTTGAAATTTGTCTGATGTGCTTTGTTTTTTATTTTTTATTTTTATTTTTTTATTTTATGATAGTCACAGAGAGAGAGAGAGAGAGAGAGAGAGAGAGAGGAGAGAGAGAGGCAGAGACACAGGCAGAGGGAGAAGCAGGCTCCATGCACCGGGAGCCCAACGTGGGATTCGATCCGGAGTCTCCAGGATCGCACCCTGGGCCAAAGGCAGGCGCCAAACCGCTGCGCCACCCAGGGATCCCTGTGCTTTGTTTTTAATATGGTGAATCCCACTGACTAGTCTCCAAATGTTAAACCAACTGTCCTCCTAGAACCCCGCTTGGCCACCTGTACTTACTGGCCTTTGTCTACGTCACTGAATAGGAGCGGCTAAACTTTCACTAAGGGCTTTGCGTGTGTGTTCATACAGGAGCCTCTAGTTTGCTTTTCTGAGGCTCTCAGTCTGGTTTGGCCTGAGTGTGATGCTGATCAGAAAGTTATTTCTTTCTTCTGGAGGGAGCGTTGGTCATCTGTGTCTTTCACCGGAGCCATGGAATTTACCAGCATGCAGGGATCAAGGCACTTCCGTATCGTCCTCACGATAGGAGTGTGGCGGGGCCAGGCCGGGGGTCAGAGGGGACAACTGTGGACTGCCAAGGACCCCGCAGCAGGAATGGCCCCAGTGACTGTGCTGGATGTGGGCCCACTTGACATGGACACCGCCAGCCCCACCACTCCCCACCCAGTTCTTGAAGTGACTCTCATGGACGGACAGTGCAGGTCTCCCTAGTCTGGGGACGAGCAGGACCCATGAGGACAGAGTCGGGAGAGAGCAGTGGCCAGCGGGGCCCACGTCCTCTGAAGTCCCTGCTTGGCCTCACCTGCCCAGATCGGGCCCTGGGAGCCTGGGATGGCACGCGGCAGAGAGCAGGATGAGAGCTGGACCGTGGGGAGGACAACAAGGGGCCGCTGGTGCTTCCTGGAGGGGCCGGAGTAGGCTCAAAGGTCAGGGTCAGCCGATGAGACTTTATTCACATTTCCACACTCCCTCCTTGACAGGTGGGCCAGACCAGAGCTCTGAGCCCAGGGTGCGGGTTCAGGGGGGGCAGGCGGGGCTCCGGGCTCACATGTGCTGTCTGCGGTGCCGCAGCACCTCCGTGGGCGTGAACAGAAAGTCCTTCTGGCAGGCCTCACAGTGGTAGGGCCTCTGCAAGGCAGACGCCTTGGGGAGGGGCTCGGGGGCAGTATCCTCAGCCTCTGTGAGAGAGGGGAAGGGAGGCTGTGGGGGGAGGTCCCTCTGCTCCGTGCTCCCACCCCCACCCAAATCCCAGGCACCCAGGGGGCTCAGGCCTTCTCCCAGCCTCTGGTACTGCCTCCTTGGTTATTACACACACACAGGCAAGTCTTTACTGTGTGTCTCGCTCTCGCTGTGTCTGTCTCTGTCACTCCCTGGGACACAGGGACTGGGAAAGAGAGTGTCCTGGGGTGGGACAGTGTGGCCCCCCCGTCGCCTTCCTGACCAGCCCTGGTGTGGGTGTGGGGTGCATACCCCGAGTGCTGTGTCAGGGTCTGCCTGCTGTGGCATCCCCTGGGTGACAATGGGGGTGTGGCCAAGACAGAGAAATAGAAACAGGCAGACCAGACTCAGCACCACATGGAGACCAGAGAGAGACACACACACGACGCTCCAACCCTCCCATCCCGGGCTCCGTGACAAAGCTTATGTGGCCGGCACCAACCAGAGCCAGAGGGCCGAGGTCCTCAATCCCCAGATGTCCAGAGAGTAAATGCCCAGACTCCCAGGACACAACTGTGGGGTGGGCGGTCACAGTGCCCCCCCCAACATCCTTACCTGGGGGGGCGTCCTGTGGGGCCTCTGGGCACGTGTTCTCGTGGGCGATGCGCTCCAAGGGCGTCAGGGGCATGTGCAGGCCGCAGTGGGGGCAGGTCCAGAAGGTGCGGAGACAGTCGCTGTACAGGTCTGTGTCGCTCTGAGGCAGGAAGGCTGCACCAGACTTGGCCCCCTGCCCAGCTTGCCACTACCCACCTGGGACCCGTCCCAGAAGCCCTCGGGGTTGACAGGCCCCATTGTGAAACCACATCCCTGCACTAAGTTGGGACATGGTTGGTGGGGAGGTGGAGCTCCCTCAGATCCCATCTTCAGGGGCAGGGGCCTGGGGGGGTGGGGGGCAGGCAGTGGGGAATGAAGGGCCGAGGTGGGGTCCACACTTACTGTGAGGCAGTTGTAGGTGAGAAAGTCCGTGACCGCATAGCCCCCTTTGGTGGGGTGGGGGGACAGGGCAGAGCTGCCGAAGAGGCCGGGGAGACTGGGTGCAGCTGTGATGGTCTGGGGTCCCACATAGAGGTTCTGGACTTCCAGCCCTGTGAGCCGCCGGAGGCTGTAGGGAACCTGGGGAAGGAAGGGCAGGAAAAAAGGAGAGAGACTCAGGGAGACTCAGTAGAGCACCTGGATCCAGCTGTACCTGAAATCGAACCCAGACAGTTCGGTTACAGGGCCAACTGCTTAAACCAATCACAGGGTCTCAGACTGTGGCTACCAGAGGCTTGTCTGGAATACACCCCGATGCCCCAGCCCCTTCTCTGCTCCCTGTCACCTGTGGGCCCACACCACACCTCCCATCTGGCCACCATGCCCAGCCTCACCTGGCGCGTCGGTCCGGTCCCCATGCCCCAGCTCCCCAGGGCACCGCTCCAGGAAGTTACCCTGGCGCATGCCCTTCTCTGCACCCCATCCACACACAGCAGAATCAGGGAGATTCCAATGCCCCACGTAAGAGGTGGGGAACGGATCTCAACTCTGCTCCACCCAATTCTTCCCCTCCATCTTCCTTTTTTTTTTTTTTTTAAGATTTTATTTATTTATTCATGAGAGACACAAGGGAGAGAGAGAGAGAGTCAGAGACACAGGCAGAGGGAGAAGCAGGCTCCATGCAGGGAGCCCGACGTGGGACTCGATCCCAGGTCTCCAGGATCACACCCCAGGCTGCAGGCGGTGCCACTGGGGCTGCCCTCCCCTCCATCTTCCAAGAACAAGCTGCTACTTACAGCTTCCCTCTCTGGCCTGCACGCCTTTAACTGTTAACGAGGGTACCAGGGTATGGCGTGGTGTGTGGGTGCCCGCATAAACCCATAAACGTGTGCTGACCTGGGGGAGGGGCCCGCAGCGCCTACCCCCATGGCCTCTGGAGCTGTGCCCCTGGGGATCAGATCCTGCCTCCACCCCTTACCCTCTGTGTGACCTTGGGCTTGTCCTCAGCCCAGCTGGGTTGCAAACCTACCTAATGAGCTGGAAGCCAGGCCTTGTGAACCCCTAATCCCTGGGGCAGGCAGCCCCTCCGGCTGAGATGGGAATAGCCAGAGGCTGCACGTACCTTGGACGCCACGAACTGCAGCAGGTCCCTGCTCAGGTGTGCCACCTCCTTGGGGTCCACTGGAGCCTCCTCCTCCTCTTGGTCCACCCCCGGCCCCCGCCGCCGGGCCTGCCGGGCCAGCTGCTGGTCCAGGGTGCTTTCCCAGTGGGCCCGGAGCCGCACAGAAGCTGCCAGAAGCCGGACGGCACTCTCACTATCCGCAAGCTGGAGCTCCAACCAGCCATCGGCCACCAGGCGCGAGCAGTCACCATTGGTGTCCAGGGACCGGCTGAAGAGCAGGAGGGACTGGAGGAGAGGGGACAGGCAGTGGGTGTGCGGGGCAGGGTGCCATCTCAGCAGCCCCGCCAGCCCTCCCAGCCCCCACCCATCGCTCTATGTGTGGTTCTCCCACCCGCCGACCCAACGTGTCTAGCCCCGCAGCAAACATGCTGCACGCCCACTGTGTGCCCGGCCGTGTTTGCTGCGCAGGAGGCGCCCTGCCGCCACACAATGGACATTCGACTGGGACAGACGGATGGAGATTAAAGGCAAACCATACTAGGTCGCCCTCCTGATGGGAGGCAGGTGCCAGAGGGAGGAGCCTGTGTCCCCACAGGGCTGAGCTGACGCACACGCACTCGGACACCTCTTGAGACCGCATCAGATGGTGTCCCTCCTGTTTGTACATGTCACCCTTACATACGCTTTACCCTCAAAATACGTAAACAAGTACTGAGCACCGGTCAGTGGTGTGGATGCCAAAGCGTTTCAGGCCGAGGGCACTGCTGCCAGAAACTTATATAAAATGCATCGGAAAAGGAAAAGAAAGCCTGGAGGTAGTGGGTGGACGGAAGTGGGACACGGACAACAGAGGGAAGGATCTGGGATAAAGCAGAAAGGCCGGATGCTGGTTGTAGCTCCTGGGAGTGGGGACAAACACCATGCATTTCTTTCAACTATCTGTTTGCAGGTTATCACGGTAACGTGGGACGGCGTGTGGGATGGGCGGCTGGGTGGCCGAGGCAGGCCTGGCCGAGGGTCGCCAGTTCGGGGGCTGGGCGCCGGAGCAGGAAAGCTCCACATGCTCTTCTTTTGTGTTTCAGTCTCCATCAGAAACCAGGCGACCAGGAGGAGGAGGAAGAAGGGCTGGGGGCATCTCAGCCAGGGATTCTGTGCTTTGTCCCTGGAGTCCTGCCCAGGGCCACCACACTGGCCCCTGACCCCGCTCTGTTCCTTCTAGGGCTGCTGGGAGAATCTGGCATTAGCGTTCCTATTTCCGTCACTGTTTACTGCCTGCCTCCCCCGCTCCAGGAGCCCCACAGGTGTGGGGAGTATTGTGATTCTCATCACGACTGCATCCCCAGCGCCTAGAACAGGAACCGGCACCCGGTGCCAGGCAGCTGCTCCATACGTGCTGCAGAGACGACATAACCGAGCAGGTTGGAGCCAGCTTTCATGGTGTGGGTGGAAGTCACAGCACCAGCGCAATCTGCAGAGGCCCAGGGAGCCCACAGGGTTTCTCTCTTCCCTTTACATTCCCCAGGGTTGAAGCGAGGGGCCCTGGTAATGGGGACACCCATCTGATGCACAGGGGAGGCATGATGTATGGTGTGTGGCCCTGGAGCTCCAGCTCGGCCACTTGAAAGCGACCTGGCCCCCCAAGCCTCACCTCCTCCTCTATAAAGCGAGAATGAAGGCCAGGCCCAGGAGGGCAGGGTGGTGTGCAGAACTCATGAGATGAGCAGCTCACTTCCTGGCTGCAGACACATACATGAATCTATCTACAACCTAGGTGTGTCCTCGGCCTCCACCTGGATTCAGCCACCACCCTCTCCTGCCCCAATGACCCCAGTCACCTCCTTGCTGGGCTCCCCACTACTGCCCCACATCAGACCCTGTTCCAGCTCTGCTCAAACCCTCCTGGGGATAGGGCGTTCCAGCCTCTCCTACCTCTCTGACCCCATCTTCAGCCACTCTCCTTCACTACCTCTGGTCCAGCTGTTCCCTGGGTATAGGGGGCATGCATATGCCTCAGGGCCTTTGCACTTGCTATTCCCTCTAAATATTCTTCTCCCTAGGTATCCTATGGTTCCTTCCCTCCCTTCCTCCAGGTCTTTGTTCCACCACACCTTCTCAATGAGGCCCATACTGATCACCTTTCCTACTACAGCCTGTCCCTTACCCTCACCCCAATCCCTCCCCAACCCCCTTATCCTATTCTTTTCATTTTTCCTAAATACTTTGCACTATTAACATATCATGTAGTACTACTTTTCTGTCCTTATGGCCATCCTCCCCCACATGTGAGCTCTGGGAGAGCAAGGCCTGGGTGTTGTCTTGTTCACTGCTCAGTTGTCAGCATCTACAACAGTTCTTGGCACACGGCAGGTGCTCAGCAAGTACTTACTGAGTCAGGAATGCAAAAACAGCAGCCAGCTGGGGGGAAGGAGACTCTTGGAGCCCACCCCGGCCTCCTGCCCCAGGACATGGTCACCAGACCTGGGAGTTGGGGTGTATGGGGCTGGGACTCACCTGGAGAGCGGGGATGCGGACGCAGTTCACCAGGTATGGTTTGTTGGTCTCCAGCAGGGAGACGAAGGTGAGGAGCTGGTGCTTGCTGCTCATCTTGTCCTTGTCATCTGAAATAGTCCGGAGGGCAGCTCAGGGCACCCCTGCGGCCTGATCTCCTACCCACAGCGCCCCCCCTGCACTGGTCTGTCCCCCAGGGGCGGCCGGTACCACCAGGGCTATTTATGCAGCTGTATAAAAAATATGTCTGTGTGAATAATGGTAAAGTGGCTGTGACTTATTTTTAAATACTTTGTCATAATGAATATGACTTTTGCTATTCACTATTAGGAAATACTGCTAATTTTGTTAGGCAGGATAGCCACGCTGTCGTAGTGCAAAAAACCAGTCCTGATTTTTACGCCTCTAAACGATATAATGGCTGGGATCGTGTCCCCGCAGAAAGGAGAAAAACGTGAGGTGATGACAGAAGCTGGGCGAGGGGACCAAGGGCTCATCCCATTCTCTACTTGGATGGTGTCCGGAATTTTTCAAAATTAAAAAAGAGAAAAACAATGTTAACAGGAAGAGAGCAAACTGACTAGGAAATTACAGCAATTGAAGATTTGAGAGAAAAGTTTAAAATTCTACCTTAGGTATTTAAGATTATAAACATTGCTTTTTGGGGTTAACGTTGACATTTTCCCACAGTGCGTTAGTTCCTTAATAGACAAGGAGAGCGTGGAGTTGCGAATCAGAGCTCACACAGAGCATGGTGGCCTGCACCCCAGGGAGGGGGCCTCGGCTGGGGGCACCCCTGGGAAGAACCAGGCCAAAGAGCTCACGGAGCCCATGGAACTGGTCGACTCTACTCGCTAAAAGCTCAGGCCTGGGTTGTGGCCGCGGTGCCCCATCAGCCACTATGCCACCACAGCAGGGAGGGTGGGGATCAGCGTGGGGGTGACTCACAAGGCCACGCAAAGAGGTCTGGCTCTTGGGACCACCAAGCCTGCAGATCCCACGTCAGCAGCCCCAGCAAAGGCCGAGTGTGGGGAGAGCCAGGGGTAATCCCAGGCAGCGAGGGGCACCCTGAAGTCACCCCCTCACATCCCAAAGGGTTTTTCTCTCCCTGCCTCCACTCACAGTACCTCGACTCCCTTCGCTGCCCCTGGCTTCTTGCTCCTGTGCATGCAGCACCTCAGGGCTGTTGGCAAAGATGCAGGTGGGGTGCAGCACAGTGCCCTGCTTGGACTGTGTGTGGAAAATCTGGAGGGGCAAAGGCAGACACCAGGTGACACAGGCCCTGGGACCTACCCTTCCGCTGCCCAGAATCCTTATCCTCCCCTTTCTCAGCCAGATTCCCCCAACTACATCTCCACTCAGAAGTCCCCTCCTCAAAACAAAACAAAACAAAACAAAACAAAACAAAAAAAAAGAAGTCCCCTCCTCCAGGAGCCCTGGAGGGCAGGGCCAGGACTGTTCTGATAACCTCTAATAAGCACCGTGTCCTCAGCACCAAACAGTGCAAGGAAGGAGCGCTGAGTGAGAAGACACGTGAGGCCAGGGCCCAAGGAGGTGGCCCACCTGGTCCGAGTCCTTGCGGCTGCTGTTGAACGGGTCCGGGACAGCGAGCTGCGGGTAGAGGCCCCGACCCAGCACCAGCTTGAGCAGGGCCATTTGGTCCCGTGTCAGGTCCTGGGCGGAGCTGGTGGCTGCCTGCAGCTGGTCCAGGCTGTGCCGCAGCTGGAACTTCACGTCCTGGGGGGAACGCGGGAGAAGGCAGGTTCCTGGGGGGCCCAGCCCGGTGCCCAAGAGCCAAGCCTGTGCCCAAGGGCCGTGTCCACTGGGACATATAGACCGAGGGTGCCGCAGACTGCGGGGGCCAGGTCCTGTCCACAGAGCCCGGTCTCTGGAGCTAAGGGCAGGGCTTGTTCCCACTCTGCTGGAGTCCACCCTGCCTGGCCCCAAGCGCCCACCTGGATGTCCACGCTGTCGCCGGCCCCCCGGTCCTCATCGCTGGAGCAGCCATCCAAGTCCTCCTGCAGCCGCAGGACCTTGCGCCGGCGCCCCCCTCCCTCCTCGTGCTGGCGCTTCAGGCGGTACAGCGCCCGGCGCTCGCGGCGCTGCTGCAACCTATGGTAGCTGTCCCCTGGTGTCGGGGCCTGCGCCCGGGCCAGCAGGCCATGGTCCTCCAGCAGCTCCTGGGGGCGGGTGGGAAGGTGGGTGGGGCTCAGGTGAGGGACACAGGCAGGCTGAGTCTGGGGCTCCAGTCTGGGGCCTGCCACTCACTGGACCCTCTGTTTCATTTTTTTTTTTAAGATTTTATTTATTCATGAGAGACACACAGAGGGAGACAGAGGCAGAGACACAGGCAGAGAGAGAAGCAGGGAGCCTGACATGGGACTCGATCCCAGGTCTTCAGGATCAGGCCCCGGGCTGAAGGCGGCACTAAACCGCTGAGCCACCTGGGCTCCTCTGTTTCAGCAGATACGGGATGTCATGTGCGAGTGTGACACAGAGGAAAGGGTCCCCGCCTTTCACCACCTTTCTCAGCGTCGGCAGGCCAACAAAAGCTGAACCGCTGCTCTGAAAAGCCAGAGATGCTGACAACGGTCAGAACATCAGCAGGCCCCAAGGGAGTGGGGATGGCTCCTAAAGGTGCACAGTAGGCCGCGGTCGGGTGGCCACTCCCCTGGGCCTCAGTGTGGCCATCCGCAACCACAGGCAGTGGACTACACAGGGACTCGCCCTGTTCTAAAGGCTCTACGCGTATTAACTCCTGTAATCCTGCCAGGACGGCTGGAAGGCTGAGGCCAGCCATGCAGTTACTTGCCCAGCATCATACTGATTGCAAATTGGGATGTCCACTCTCTCCAGATTGGGTGTACCTACCATCACCACCCCCTGCTGCCTCCCAGAGCTCTGTCTGCATGGCCAGCTCAGCACCCCTGCTCCAGATGGCCAGGTTCTTCATGAGAATATAGCGTGTGACCGTTGACCCTGTCCACTTCTCTAGGAAGCCCTCCTGAATTTCCACTCCTCTGACTCACTCAGGCCACCCCACATCTGAGTGTCTGATGGTTGGGGAGGAGAATGTATGGTGGCACTCTGATTGCTCCATCAGGGAAGGAAAGAGGTGGTGCATCTGCACTCACTCCATCTCCTCACACCCCATCACCATCCCCCCACTTCCCCAGGTTTGTTCCTGGCCCCCTCTCCTCGTCCTGAGTCTCACCTTGAACTGGCGCCGCAGGTTGGCCATCTCGTACAGCCGGTGCTCCTCTATGCCCCGGTGGCGGCACCACTTGCGTGAGTTTCTGCTCCGTTCAGATTTTACCTGGGTGGAAAAACCAGACTCCAGGGTGTCAGGGCCTAGCCAGCTGGGGAAGAGTGCTGGGGGCTAACCCAGTGCCCAGACACCCCCAGCACGGGCCCAGACGCCAGCCCCCGGAAGAGTAAGAGGCAGGGACAAGTTCTCCTTCTCCTTCCAGGTCTCAGCCCCACTGTGCCCTCCTACAGGAAGCCCTCCCTGGGTCAGACATCCCCTCTGGGCTCCCTCAGCCCCTGGGACTATCACAGCCCATTCTCAGTGGTCACTGTCTAGGGACAGGCCTGCCTCCCAGCATGGGACCATGAGATCCAAGAGGGCATAGCCAAGGGTTTTTAGTCACCACTGGGTCCCCAGCACTGCCCAGTGCAGAGCCAGGGCCAGAGCATGTGCTGGATAGACAGATGCCACCCTAGGAGTGTGTGAACTTTCTCTGGGTGGCAGTGGTTTTATTCAGTGCTTTAAAAACCCCAGTCTCCCCTCAAGGCTGGGCCCCTCAAGTGCATGCTAGCCCTATGGCCACAGGGATGAATGGTGGAGACAGGGCCCTTCCAGTCCGCAGAGGGCTCAGGGGTCCTGGCAGGGGTAGTGGGCCTCCTCATGCCCCACGCAGGATGTAACTGACAGGGGTGGTCCCTCTGCTGGGCTCACCTGCACCCAGGCGTTGAAGACGTTGAAGAGCGTGAAGGGGTCCCCCTGGTCACTCTCCAGGGGCCGCCGCGCTGCGGCACACTCGGGGTTGCTCTGGGCACTGCGGGTGAAGGGTGACTGGACACTGAGGGCGGCCGCTATGGTGAGCACGGGCTCCGCCAGGTGGAACATGGAGCCCAGGATCAGCATCTTCCCTGGCGGGTGGCGGGGAGAGGACAGGGGCCAAGCTGAGCCTCCTGGACTCCAGGACGGCCACCCCCAGCCTGCCCCCACCTCCCTCCAGCTTCCCCACAAAGGGCCTTGGGAGCCATTCTCTTGTGGACAGAATCAAGCCCACACTCTGTTTCCTGGTCATGTGAGCTCGGGCAGGGCCTCAGTTTCCCCATCTGCAGGCCGGAGGTGACCTTGATCTTGCCTCCGCGGGCACCAGGTGGACACCGTCTGAAGGCTGGCTGCCATGGTCAGCAGTGCCACCGCTCAGCTGGGCCTCCTCTCTACAACCCATGCTCCCCCCCCCCCCCCGCTTTATTCTCCTGCCAGGCACTGTCCTGAGGTCTGCGGTGGTCTCTGCCTCCTGCCTCTAGAACATGACTCCATGGGAGCCCTGATGGCCTGCCCGGCACACAGCAGGTACTGACTTATGTGCCTGTTTCGGGAGGAATCCTCTTCTGCTGTCCTTGCTTGATTCTAGGTGGAGGCCGGGGGAGCAGGGGGGGATGGAGAGGATGGGAGAAGCGGGGGGCGGGGGTGTGGCAGGGAAGCAGTAGGAATGGTATCCCAACACAGCGAAAAGCCGTTTCTCTGCCTACGCTCCCCAGCAGGAATCGGGCTGACCCCTGGTCTGCACCACCAGGCCATCGCCCGCCTGCCCTGTGCTCGGTGGCCTGTCACACGTGTCTGACTCATCCTCACCAGTCCCCTTAGCCACTTTGTTGGAAAGTTCCTGTTACACATCCAGCCTCAGAAAATAAAGTTCGGCGATAAAACGAGGCTGTCCCAGAACCCTGTAGCTCTGACCCGTGGGCAAGTCCCTCCATTTCTCCGTCCTCCGTTTCCCTGTCTGTGAACCGGGCTAGAAGCTGCACCCGCCCTGCTGTGAAGATGACCAGGCCTCACCCCAGAAGCCCCTGGAGCTCCACCGGGTGGCACAGAGTAAGCACGCCGACGGAGCCATCTGGGCCTGGGGACCCACAGCGTCAGCCTGGATGCGGAGCGCCTCCTGGCTCTGCCCACTGCAGGACCCTCGGTGACTGAGTGACGGCCTTTCTCTGAGCTTCACCGGAAAGCGTGTCACTCTCACATGACACCTGATCAAACCCAGGCTCACCTGCTTGCTCTGGGCCCTTGGGTGTGGACCTCTGCCCCGGGCCAAGCTTCAACTTCCTCATCGGCACAGAAAGGGTGACCAGAGGCCCAACCTTCACCAGGTGCCGGTGAGAGGATATAAGACCCATTAAGCCTTTCACAGACACACAGCCAATGCTGTGAACAGAACATTCTTTTTCTTCTCAGATCGGATTTCCCTTGCTCTAGCCCGGTGTCCTTCTAAAATAAATAGAACCATCTTCATAACCATGAGAGGCCCTCAGGGTCAGCGGTACCCAGCCTCCTGTTCCCACGGAAACTCCAGGGTGTTGCACTGATGGGGACTTTAATGATATTAACACCGGCAAAAGGTTCTGCCAAGCATCACACCCAGAAAATACTGCCACAAGGAGTCCTGCTCAGCTGGGAATATTCTGTGGGCCACAGATCAGATCATCTAGAATGTCCTGAGTCAGGCAAATCAGACCAGAACACACCTCGGTCAACCAGCTTCTCAGAAGGGGCAGGGATGACTCAGGGATGAGCAAGAGGAAGAGGCAGGCAGTGTTGACATCCTTACGACACCGAGAGGGTGGGCACCGGGTGGAGCTGGGAACAGGGTGTGCAGAGGAAGCGAGGTGCCTGTTTGTTTACTGCTGTACCCCAGTGCCCAGAACAGTCCCTGCCACAGGGAACTTGTGACTGAGTGGACGGGGCCCAGAGAAAGAACAGGCTTGCCTACGAGTCACTCAGAGGGTGAACGGTCCCTGCAGCCCCTTCCGGTGTGATCACCCCACTGGAAGTCCTCACCAATCACGACGTCCACTGGCAGCTGGGACAGCAGGGACCCGATAGGGGTGAGGGCCTCGGAGCTGTCCAGAGCCCCCTGGTCCTGGAGGTAGAGGATGGCCGTTTCCAGGCTGGCTGGTGGCGGGGGCTCGATGAAAGGAAAGGTTCGAGGGTCCCCCACGCTCATGCTCTTCATCTGGAAAGACAATTGAGCCCCGTCCAGGATTGGATAACACAGGAGCTACTGTGGAGCAGTGGCAGGGGGCTCACAATCACACAAACTCATGATACCTTAAAACTCCCGATGTCAAGGCCCATCTTAGAGAGGCAGGGGAGGAGGGCCACTGTCTGCCTATCTGTCCAGCCTCTCTTCTCCCAGGCCTTGGGAGAAGGCCCATGGAGCAAGCCACAGGACTTAAGCTGGACCAATCTTGGTTTCTCAGCCCCTCCAAACAGCAAATTACCAAGGAATGAGTACATGACCTGAGCTGGGCCAATCAGGATCCTCCCTGATACTTTTGCAAACTGACGCCGGGAAAGAGAAGTCCCAGCATCCTCCCTGGTTGTGAGGGGCTGGCATGGAAGCCCAGAGCTGCTGGGATTATTTTTCCCTCGCCTGGAGATTAGCTCAAGCCCAAGCATAGCAGATATTGTCCTTAATCGTCCCTAAGCCAAACCACACCCTCACAATGGATGCACAACCTCATGAAATCCTCCTTTCTGCTTACGGTAGTTTGAGTCAGGTTTCTCTCACTTTGGACTGAAGTGAATCCTGACTAATTCAGAGGCCCCGAGTGGCTGCAGGTTGTGGGAGGAAATGGAGCAAAACACGCACCCATCACCAGACTTGGTGAGATGGAAGCCAGCAGCCCCTCTATGGAACGGATGGAGGAAAGGCAGGCATGGTGGTTCACAGGGCCATGAGGTAGCAGGAAGAAAGCTCGGGGGGGCCCAGGGCTCTAACCAGCCTCACCGCAAGCTGACCTGCTGGCCTAGGCCTCATCCAGAGGGCACCACAAGCTCGGGGTGTCCACCCAGCAAGCAGCTGGTCCACCTTCCCCCCTGCTGCCCGGAAGAACACCCAGTGCTCATTAAAAAAAAAAAAAAAAAAAAAAAAAAAAAATCCTTTACATCAGAAGCTCTGGGTGAGCGTTAAGGCTAGATTTTTAATTTAAGCTCTCTAGGTGAACATGTAGCTAGAGCTGGCAAGCCCCGCTCTGATATACTCAGCCAAGGCCATGGCCCTGGACAGCTCCAGCTCAAACAGGACTGACCAGGTGCTGCCCATGAGACCGGATAGGTGAAGTTCCCGCAGCCTTAAAAATGAGACCCATAGGGATCCCTGGGTGGCGCAGCGGTTTGGCGCCTGCCTTTGGCCCAGGGCGCGATCCTGGAGACCCGGGATCGAGTCCCACGTCAGGCTCCCGGTTCATGGAGCCTGCTTCTCCCTCTGCCTGTGTCTCTGCCTCTCTCTCTCTCTCTCTCTGTGACTATCATAAATAAATAAAAAATTTAAAAAAATGAGACCCACAAGGAGGGGCAGGTGTCACTTCTGGATGATAAAGGAGGCAGCAGTGCCACCCACGGCTCCCATGCATGGGCCTGACAGCCTCAGATGGAATCCTGGCTCTGCCACTGGCCAGCTGTGCCACCTGGGTCAGGTTAACTCATCTCTCTGTGTGATGGGTTCCTCATCCAGAAATTGGAATGATGAGACTACTTACCCCTAGTTTTTTGCAGGGTTCCAAGCACTTACAACACACAATACAGAATGGTGCCAGGCCCACAATGGGCACGAGGCACGTGTTCTCTATCCGCTGTCACCATCTCTATCACTGTTCTTAAAAGAGCTGCCAACTGATGGAAGATGGAAAAGGCTAGAACAAGCCCGAGCCCTACAGGACATCACTGACCCATTTAAATAACCGAGCCTACCGCTTCCCCATCTAGGGATCGCTCATCTGAAACGGTACATTGTCCCTACCGGTCAGACCAGCGTTTGTCAAAGCAGCTTACAGGGGTCAGGAACTTGCAGAGTGGATCACAAGCAGCAGTTTTGAAAAATGAAATCAAACAAACAAACTATCAGAGTTTATCACCCGTAGGAGGGGGGCTGGTTTGTGCCACTGGCCGCTCCCGCCCCAGGGGAACCTGCTATGGAAGCCGCCTGTCCTGCCTCACTCGCACTGGCCAGGCTCCCCCTCAGTGAGGTGCACCCCGGGACTGAGTGCTAACCAGGGCAAGCTGAGAGGATGGACCTGGCCCCCAAACCCTCCCCTGTTCCCTGCCAGCAAGGTGAGCACAGAGCCACACAAGGAAGGGGCCTGGGTCCCCAAATACAAGAAGCTTCCTACCCCCCCTGAGGACTGTTTCTGTGTGTTGGCCACTCTGTGAGTGGGCCTATTTGGTACAGCAGCCTAAGCTAAGCAAAGCTAACTAATGAGGTAAGAACCGTGACATAAGACATATGGATGGAGAAACCCCAGTTTTAAAAGCCACACCCTGGTGGACTTTCTGTTACAGCTGAAAGCATCCTGGAGTCATGAGGTTTTTCTCATGAGCCTATGGATCTGGGGAACCATCCGCCGCTCAAAATGGGATCTGACGGTTGGAAGCAATGAGCTCCCCTCCATGGCTGGGCCCTGAAACCCCGGGATCAGGCCCATCCCCAGCCGCGCCTCACCTGCAGCACCAGTGTGTCCAGGGCTACCCTCCGAATCTCCGGAACAGGGTAAGGGGCGAAGGCATCATAGTCCGATTCAGCATAGAGGCGGAAGCAGACGCCAGGGCCCGTGCGGCCTGCCCGGCCCTTGCGCTGCTCGGCACTAGCCTGGCTGATCCAGAACTCCTGGAGCCGATGCAGCTTGGCCTGCGGGTCATAACCCATCTCCTTCACCTTCCCTGCGTGGAAACACAGGAGACTGGGTGCCACAGCGGCGAGGAGCCCCCCACCTCGCCGCTCAGTCCCCAACGCCCTCACTTCCTCCTTTATTCCACTGATGCTGACTGAGAGCTTATTCCGCCCTTGACCTTGACATTTCATTGATCCATCCTTATTTCCTCATTCACACATCTCTTATTTGTGTATTCAGAAGCCCAGTCATCCAGCTGTTATTAGTAGGCACCTGCTGCGTGCCAGGCACTGTACTAGGTGCAGCTGTGAACAATGACCCTGGCCCCAGAACAGAGGGGAAACAGAGTTCCTCGACCCTAAGACCAACTTTGTCCACTTTCATTGTCTCTGAAAATGGGACAGCCCTTGAAAGCAATGATACGTCAATGTTCAATGGCCAGCAGTTTTAAATTTTGATGGTACATAAAATTACAGAATGCTTTATCATGGATGGCAATCCAGATTCAATCCGGCAAGGTTACTGCTGACATTTATGGGGTGCTCACTCTGTGCCCACAATGATACTAAGTACCCAGGGGAAGTCGCTCATGTCACCCTTACACCTCGGGGGAGGCTCTATTATTGCCATTTCACAAATGAGCAAACTGACACACACAGTGTCCATGACAGGACCTTGGTCACACAGCCAGGCTGGCTCCAGTGTCTCCCAACCGCTATGCAATGCTGACTTCCCAGAGAACAGTCTCGGGAAGACAAAAAAGAAATACATCAACAGATATAAAATATAAAGCCCATACTCTGAGGAACAATAGGCCTTATAAGGAGTGGGGGGAAGAACAAGGAGATCACAAAAGTGGACAAGGTAAGCCTCTCTGATGGGGACACATGTATACAGGCCCTGAAATGAGATGAGGGAGTGAGCCTTCTGGATCTCTAGAGAAAGACAGTTCTTGGCAGGGACAACAGTCGGTGCAAAGGCCCTGAGGCAGGAGCAAGCTTGGAATGTCTGCGAAGATTAAGATGTTGCCTCTGTTCCATGGCCCTAAAGGCCACCTACTGCCTGCTTTGGTCTGGAGTTCCTCACTACACATGCACATCTCCAGACCCCACATTTCTCCCTAGGGCCTGGGGGTGGCGGGGAGCAGCCCTTACCAGAATCAACTACAAAGCGGATCCCATCAATGGTGACAGAGGTCTCAGCAATGTTGGTGGAGAGGATGCATTTCCGAACTCCAGGGGGGGCCACATCGAATACCTGGGGGGGGGGGGGATAGGTGAGGAGGTGACATCCGAGATGAACTCAGCCCTTGCTGACCCATGCCTGGTGTCCCACGGGCACTTCCCACCCACCTACAGTATCTCAGATAGCCTCAGTGCCTCCCACTGAACACTTGCCTCCTCCCTGAGTCCCCATCTCAGAGACAGCTCATCACCAACCACACCAAAGGGGCCAGAAACCTGGGCTGGCCTGGCTCCCCTCCCCACCCCCCAGCCACACCTACACATCATAAACATTTTTGAAATTCATTCCCCTCCCCGCAAGCCCCCAGCCCTGCCCTGGTCCAGGCCCTCCCTTCCCATCCACGTCCTGCCCCTGCCTCCTCCCCGGTCTCTGGCCTCCCGTCCATGATCGCACACAGCAGAGGGATCTGCTAAAGCACAAACCAGCACTACTCCCAACCCTGCTTAGAACCCTCCCATGGCTCAGAAGCACTCAGGACAAAGCCCAAGCACCACACTGGGTCTTCAAGGCCCTGCGGCCTAGGCCTGCCCACCTCTCAGTCCCACCTGTACTGTCTTCCCCATCACAGTCCAGACCCCAGACACCCTGAGTGGTCTCCCAGGGGCCCCGCCTTTCTCTCACCACAGGCCCTTTGCATGAGCCCTTCTCCTGGACCCAAGAGACAGTCAAGTACAGTGGTCAAGAGTGGGGATCAGCAACTAGGCTGGGTGTCAGATTTAGCCTTTTGGCCGTTTCTGTAAATCATATTTTAACATAGCACAGCCTCACCTGTGTCTGTGGCTCTTTCTTAATGTAATGGAAAAGTTGAGTAATTGTGCCAGAGATGCAATGGCTCATAAAACCTACAACTTTGGGGACACCTGGGTGGCTCAGCAGTTGAGTGTCTGCCTTTGGCTCAGGTCACGATCCTGGGGGCCTGAGATTGAGTTCCACATTGGGCTCCCCACAAGGAGCCTGCTTCTCCCTCTGTTTGTCTGTCTGTCTGTCTGTCTGTCTCTGTTAATGAATAGATAAATAAAAGCTTTAAAAAACAAAAAAAAAAACCTTCAATTTTGGGGTGTCCCTGGAGGGCTTTGTCAGTTAAGCATCTGACTTCAGCTCTAGTCATGATCTCAGGGTCCTTTTTTTTTTTTTTTTAATTTTTTTTATTTATTTATGATAGGCACACAGTGAGAGAGAGAGAGGCAGAGACACAGGCAGAGGGAGAAGCAGGCTCCATGCACCGGGAGCCCGACGTGGGATTCGATCCTGGGTCTCCAGGATCGCGCCCTGGGCCAAAGGCAGGCGCTAAACCGCTGCGCCACCCAGGGATCCCAATGATCTCAGGGTCCTAAGATTGAGCCCCACCTCGGGCTCCTCGCTCAGTGAGGAGCCTGCTTGTCCCTCTCCCTCGGCCCCTGTTCATGTTCTGTCTCTGTCTTTGAATGGATGAATGAATAAACAAATAAACTATAACTGTACTTCCTGAGCTTTTACAGGAAGTTGGCAACCTCTGGTTAAGAGCATGGGCTCTGGTGCCAAACTATCAAGTTCCAAAGCCTGGCCCTGCCACTTATGTGACTTGGCACAAGTGCCTTGGCCATAGTGTCTGCATCTGTTCTGGGTAACAGTGGCACCCGGGAGACAGGGCTGCTGGGAGGTCTAAATGAGGCAAGGCACACACAGGCCTCCCAACTCCAGCCGGCCCGCAGCAGGGCTCCACAAGTTAGCTGGGACACTCTTCTCCCAGACCCCTTCCTAGGCTGGGGCTTTCTAGGGTCTCAGTTTTAAAAGTTTCTTTCTCCAATAAGCCTTCCCTGAATCTGCCAGGACTGTGCACTCACATTTCCAGAGCTTTCCTCTACCATTTGTAAAGTATTGGCTGCTTGCCATCTCCTTCAACAGACTGGCAGCTGCATTAGGGGAAGGGCCCTATCTTAGCTCCCAGGATGTCCCAAAGAGTCTCCTCAGCACAAGGGGAAGCACTAAGGAGGTGCTCAAAGGTTGTTTCTTCCATCAATAGACAGCTGGGTGTGACCTGAAGGGCCTCCTCCCTAGGGGACTGTGACAGCCTCCACAAAGGCCTGGTGTGTCTCACCTCCCGGGATCCACACCATCATCTAGTACTTTCCCCCTGAACAGAGCAGCCCAGGTCAACTAATGGGACACTGCAGACATGAGGGGCTGTGATGACCAAGGTTAGGCCATAAAAGACACTGTGGCTTCTGCTTGGGTCTCTTGGGGAGAGCCAGCCACTATGTTGGGAGAACACTCAAACAGCCCACATGGAGGGAAACTGAGGCCCCCAGCCAACAACCTGCCATGTGAGTAAGCCATCTTACAGGAGGGCCCTCCCACCCTGGGGAAGCCTTCAGATGGCAGCAGCCCCAGCTGACACCTCAACTGCACCCTCTAGAGAGACCCTGGGCCACAGGCACCCACTTAAACCTCTCCCGAATTCCTGACCTGTGGAAGTGATGGGAGATAGTGAACGCTTACTGTTCTGAACTGCTAAGCTTGGGGGGAATCTGCTACACAGCAACAAACAACTACCACATGACCTGAAGGCCTCTCTGCCCACCCCCTTCTGTGCCAGCAGGGCAGTCTCTCAACTGTTCCCCACACCCAACTCGCAGAATCCCACCTCCACACCCGGGGAGTTGGTCCTCCTCCACCACCCTGGACTACCTCCCACACTGGGCTACTCAAAATCCTCCTTGCCCTCCAAAGCTCCACTCCCATCTCATCAAGAAGCTAACCCTGGCACATACTGCCCCCACCCAAAAGATGTGAGGAGGCCTGTCCACGGCCCAGGGCCCTGCGATTGTGGGATCATGTCCCCAACCCCCAACCCCTCCTCCCCTGGCCTACACGGCCAGACTCCAGTGCCCCACCTGGCCTGGCCACACGTGGTACCTTGTCCTGGTCGGCCACAGAAAGGGCACTGTGCAGCGGCAGCACCACCCAGCGCTGGGTGCGGCTGGCATAGGTCTGGGCAGCCTCGAGTACTGAGCTGATCTCCGCCATGCCACTGAGGAAGACGAGGAGGTCGCCCCGTTCCTCGGGTGGGTACTTATTGTCGATGGCCTCCAGCACCCTCAGGAAAGGCCCAGGGTCCAGCTTCTCCGACTTGGACGCCACTGGCTCTGCCTCCTGTGGCTGGTACACGACCTGTGGGGAGATGGCCCCAGGCAGGGGCAAGCCTGTCACCCTAACGCAGGGCAACAGGGCAGGAAGACCACAGGCTGTCACTCACCCATCAGGGAGCAGACTGCACCCTCAAACGGATTAGTTAGAGGAGGATGTCATAAAAAGACAAAGTATCAGGGAAATGGAAGGCTCCTGGGGTGCTGGTAACATCTGATGCTTTTTAGTGGGGGGTGCTGGCTGCATACCGTGTTTGATGTGTGGGGATTAACTGAGCTCTACACAAGATATGCGCACTCTGTTGTGTTCGGAGGGTAACTTCAACAACAACAGAATTTTACAGGATGGAGCCAGGATCAAAACCCTAGAAATAACCCTTCTCAGAGAGCATCTTCACTCTTTTACAGCTGCCTTGCCCAGAAGACAGTGGGGGGCATTTAGAACCCCAAACCACAAGGAACAGTGCAGTTTCCTGGAGCTCACCCTCCAAGGCTCTTACCAATTCTCAGTGCAAGAGAAAGGATTTTCAAAACACAAAAGAGAGCAGGTTCAGGGCACAGACTGCCTGGGAGGGCCAACAGGAAACCAAGTAGGGGAGGACCCCATGAGTGCCACTCACACGGGTCCCCTCCAGGAAAGACAGAAAGGTGGGGAGGGAATGGGGATGTGGAAGAGCAAAGGGAAGCAGCCTGGCCCGGGGCCACATCTGTGAGCAGGATTCCAGTCCCAGCTCTGTGGCTCCACGTCTCTAAGCTTCCATTTTACCCCCATGGGCAGAAATCGCCGGCACTGGACCCCAGGCTGTCTGAGGGCCTGGCCCACGTGAGCTCATCCACGTTCGCTGCAGAGCATGCAGCACACACCCCGTAGATGTCAGCTGTGATCATCTTCGCTAGGATTACCAACAGGACCAATGTGCCAGCCACAGCAAATAGGCCGAGCAAAGGGGGCAAAATTCAGGGCAGAAGCTGCCAGAGAAATCAAAGACCTGGGGTGGGAAGTTAATGACGTGTGTGTCCAAGACCACCATGGGGACAGGGTGAGGCTGGGTGTGTCGAGTGGTGTAGGAGACCCACAGTGGCCCAGAGACTCTGCTCTTTTCTTCCCGGGCACAATGTCACTTAGCAAGAGACAGAACACTTTCCAGCCACCTCCCCACCTTGCAGTCAGGTGGGGCACAGGGAGGAGACAACTGCAGGGTCCCTTCCACCTTGAAGACAAACTGGCCCTTCCCTGGCATGGGGCTCCCTCCCTCTTCCTGCAATCTTCAACTATACAGAGCTGGAGAGTTCCCTAGGACAGTGGTGCATGGCATGGGGGTGGCGGAGAAGGGGGGAGTCCACCCCCAGGGGACATTTGGTAACATCTGGAGGCATTTTTAGTCTTCACCACTGAGGGAGGATGATAGTGCTGGCAGCTAGTGGGAAGAGGCCAGGGAAGCTGCTCAATATCCTACAATGTGCACAGTGGCCCCCATGGCCCAGAATTCTCCAGCCCAAAATGTCAACAGTGCAGAGACCGAGAAGCCCCACCTCATGAGATGGCAAAGGAGAAAAGAGGTGCCCGGGTCCCTGAATGACCACATGCAAAGAGCTGCCCAGCAGCCCCGACCAGCAGGACTGTTACATAGGAGGAATCAACTCTTATCTTTATATTTCTGGGTCTCCTCCAACAAGCACTTGGCACCTGCCCAGCACACTGTCAATGCTCAGAAAACGGCAGCTTTAAAAGCGAGAGCGTGCACGAGCAAGCACATCCTTCACCGAAAGATGGGAATCTGAGAAGGAGGGAAGGGACGTGTCCAGGTCAGCCAGAGTCCAGGTGGGAGGATGGGGGGGGGGCACGGGAGCGACACTGACCGTGATGGGGAACAGCCTCCCGGGCACCTGCACCACGGGCGCCGTGCCAAAGTAGCTGGAGAAGAGCGAGATGTTGATGGTGGCCGACATGAGGATGACCTTGAGGTCAGGCCGCTTGGGCAGCAGGCGCCGGAGGACTCCCAGAAGGAAGTCATTGTGGAGGTGCCGCTCGTGGACCTCGTCCACTATCAGGACCTGGTACTGGGGCAGGCTGGGCTCCCGCTGGATCTGCCTCAGGAGCAGCCCCACCGTCAGGAACACGATCTTGGTGGCTGCCGTACGCGTGCTCTCAAAGCGGATCTGGTAACCAACCTGAGGGCAGGGGCAATGGTCAGGAGAGGAGCCCGGACCTGAGCACCAGCCCTCAGTTGCCTAAACCGAAAATCTGAGCAAATGCCCCTATTTCCACCCAACACCACTCCAATCGGACTCTGGAGGCCAGCGCACTTGGGTTTGGATACCCCTCTGCCACTTTGTGCCACTGACTCTGGGCAGGCAGCTCCATCCCTCAAAGACACGTTCCCCCCTAGACATTGGAAGAATGGGTACGTGATTATGCACAGAAAGTATTTGGTACAGGGCCTGGTGTATATGCTAATTAATTAATTTGTTTGAGTCCCTACCCTGCTGGGAACCAAACACTGAATGTGCACCACCAGCTCATTTCATCCTCACAGTCACCATGAGAAGCAAGAACCACTATTCTCACTTCACAAATGGGGAAACTGAGGTCACTCATCCAAGACAAACACAGTTAAAAAGCGGTATTGAGAGAAAATGACCTTTTTAAAATTTTTTATTAATTTATTTGAGAGAGAGAAAGCACAGTGGGGAGGGGCAGAGGGAGAGGGAGAGAATCCCAGGCAGACTCAATGCTGAGCATGGAGCCATACGTGGGGCTCGATCCCAAGACCCTAAGATCATGACCTGAACCAAGGCTCAGCTGCTCATCCAACTATGCCACCCAGGGACCCTGTGAGGAAATGATTTTAATCCCTACCTTCCACCACACACAGTGTGAACACACACACACACACACACACACACACACGTCAATTTCTGATACAGTTTTAAAGGCAAAAATTTTTAGGAAAAAGCCTAGGAATGTGTTTGTATCCTTAAGGTAGAGGGGTATTCCTTAAACAGAACCATAAAAAGTGACAACCATAAAAAGAAAATGACAGACTGGCCCGTATTTACATGAAAAGACACTGTCATCAAAAGACAGCATCCAGAAAATGAAAGACAACTCAGAATAGGAGACAAAATCTGCAATACACAGATCCTACAAAAAGGACTCATTTCCCACATCTATAAAACCCTAAAAATTGAGAAAAGACAACACAGAAGACAAACAGAGAAAAAGACCCAAACAGACACTTGAGAGAAGAGGATCTCCAAATGGCCAATAAATACTTGCAGCCCTTAGTTGTCAGAGAAATGCATATTACAATGTGCTACTACTAACCACCCACCCAGAAAAGCTAAAGCGAAAAAGATTCACTGTAACAAGCGTAGGTGATGGCGTGGAACACAGCACCAGTTGGGAGTGTGGATGGGTAGGATCACTTTGCAAAGCTTTAATCTACTAAAGCTAGACATGCTTGCAGATCTGATGAGCCAGCAGTCACCCTCCTAGCAATACCCCCAACAGAAAATCTGCACCGACAGACACCAAAAGGCATATTCTAGAATGTTGATAGCGGCGCCTTCACACAAGAGCCTGAAACTGGAAATGTCCCAGATTCCCGTCAACAGGAGAAGGGACGAATACTCTGTGGTGTCTTTGCCAGGGGATACCAAATAGCAGTGAGAAAGAACAGTGTGCACCCACACGCTCTACCACAGACAAATCTCACAAAACTAACACCGAGCGACAGCACAGGCACCAGAGAGGACACACTTTTTGATTCCATTTATAAAAAGTGAACAAAAGAGGCAAAATTAATCTGTGGTATTTCCTCTTTAACTCAACAGTCATAATCTAAGATGATAATCTATCATTCGGGATAGTGACGACTCTTGGGGCCACCTGGAGGTGGAAGACAAGGGGGTTTCTAGGGTGCTGGTTCAGGTCATGATCTCAAGGTCCTGAGATCAAGCCCCACATTGGGCTCTGTGCTGGGCGTGGAGCCTGCTTCAGATTCTCTTTCTCTCTCCACACATATGTGCTCTCTCTCTCAAAAATAAAATAGAATAAAATTTTAAAAAGCATTACACTGGGTAAGTAATGCTAGTGACATTCTCATCTGAACCATATTCAGGTCAATCTGTAGATCAACTGCTAGAAGAATCGTTGAGAAGTGAAAGGGTAAGTGCTCTGGCAACTCTCATCAATACTATACTATCATATGGGCAACAACCTACACCCCAAGGTCACACTGGAAAAACTGAAAATCCGGCCTGGCCCACTCACCTGTGAGCCATACTGACTGAGGCTCTCGAAGCTGACACGCTTGGCCAGGGAGATGCAGGCAATCCGCCGGGGCTGGGTGCACGCCACGTGACTGAAGCCAGCAGCCAGTAGGTACTGGGGCACCTGGGTGGACTTGCCACAGCCCGTGTCACCTGCCACCACCACCACCTGGTGCTCCTTCAGCGTCTGCAAGATGCGGTTCCCATACTGGGCGATGGGAAGCGCTGCGCGCTCATGCTGCAGTTTGGCCAACCGCCCAAATGCCTGCTTCTGGCTAAAGTCCAGGTAGTGCAGCAGTGCTCGGCGGAACTCAGTCACTCTCTCTGGGGGCTGCCTGCCCAGCCCCCGAGAGCCCCGAGTGTCGGGGCCCAGGACAGAGAGGTTGATGCGGTAGCGGGCATCGTAAGTGCGAGGTAGGTCAGCCAGTGCTGGGACACTGTGCTTGGGTGGCACAGGGTCTTTCTCCCCCTTCCTGGCGGTCTTGAGATTCTGGAATCTCTGCAAACGTTCAAAGAAGCTCCAGAACTTCTGGCACTCCTCAGAACCCTGGCGGATATAATCCTCTTCACGGAAAAAGGCATCCTCGAAAAGGTGACGTGTCTCTGGACAATTCCAGTCCCATTTCTCAGGGGCCTCCTCCTCACTGGGGTCCCAGTGTCGGCCTCGGCGATCCCTGCCCTCCTTTGTTCTGGGAGGAGGCATGCTGGGGGTGGTCACAGTGCTGTCTCAGAGTCACAGTGAGAGGTCAGTGCCTGCAATAAGGAACCACTCTTCTCCGCAAAGATACAATCTTTCTCTTCATCAATGGTACAGGACAACCACAGGCAATGACAGAGCAAGTGCTCAGGGGCCCAGCTCAAAGCTGGCAACACACAAGGCACCTCATGACTCCTGGAATGATCTCTGGGGCAAACATCAGTCCATCCTGGCCTTTCAGGCCCTGAATGCCTGGAGGAGAGAAGACACACATTCATTTTAAGTAATGTTTCCCAAAAGCCTGCAGTTTCATAAGTACTGGACTAGGAGGACCAGCAGTAATGATAAGGCCACCCTGACCCCTCACGTGTGGTCATGGTCACAGGTGAGACACAGACAATCCAGTGACTGCCTGTAGGAGCAGCCTGACCACGCTGGGGAATCAGGGAAGGATCCCCCGGGATGTTTGACCAAAAAACCTGGAGTGCAGGGCCCTGTGACCAGGGCCAATCAACAGCAGAACCTTGTCACGAGAGACAAGAACACAAGAGGGGTGTGGTATAAAGAAATGAGCAAGGCAAGGGTTGTTTTTTTTTTTTTTTTTTTTTTTTAATGATAGTCACACACACAGAGAGAGGCAGAGACACAGGCAGAGGGACAAGCAGGCTCCACGCACCGGGAGCCCGACGTGGGGACTCGATCCCGGGTCTCCAGGATCGCGCCCTGGGCCAAAGGCAGGCGCCAAACCGCTGCGCCACCCAGGGATCCCCAAGGCAAGGGTTCTTAATCAGGGTCCACTGACCTACTAAACACCTAGGAACTCTTAGAAATCAACTGCACAATTTTGCAAGTGTTAGGTTACACACGGTCTTCTCCTGCCTAGCACTCCCTTCCTTCCTTTCCTGATAACTTCACCCACTCCCTTTGAAGGGCAGTCCTTCAGGGTTCCCATGGGCTTCTAAGTCAGAGAACCCCTACTGATTGGACAGGCGACAAAGGCTTGGCCAATCATGGTACCCAACTCCTCCTGCAACCTTTGATTGGTGCGAGCAGTGGACACGTGACCTGTGGAGATCCAATCACGGCCTTTGTCTGGAATTTACACTAGGTTGCCAGGAGACACAAGCCCTCTTAATCTATTGTGGTCACACAAGGATGACGTAAGCCCGGGGCTGCCTGTTGTAGCTCTTGAACATGATGGTCTTTTTTTTTTTTTAATTTTTATTTATTTATGATAGTCACACAGAGAGAGAGAGAGAGAACAGAGACACAGGCAGAGGGAGAAGCAGGCTCCATGCACCGGGAGCCCGACGTGGGATTCGATCCCGGATCTCCAGGATCGCGCCCCTGGGCCAAAGGCAGGCGCCAAACCGCTGCGCCACCCAGGGATCCCCATGATGGTCTTTCTTAGAAATTCATCCTAGAGAAGAGCCTGCACGGGGACAATGAAGTCACTGACCAACTGCAAAGGAGGAAAGTGGAAGAGAGAGGAAGAAGTTTGGCTTGTCCCCTCCACCCCTCACTTCTCAGGTACACATCATGTCTTTTTGGTCAAAGTTGGTTTTCTCTCCACTGCATAAGTCCTAACTAATATTATCCACCTACGTACAATTTTTTGGAGTGAAGCCCATCATTCAGATTTTTAAAGCTTATGACCTTAAGAGGATTTAGAGCCCTCCTTGATAAATAGGCTTTTTTAAACCTCAGCTTCATCATTTATTAGGTGCATGGCCACTTGCAAATTAACTACATCGAGGTTGTTTTGTCTATAAAATGGGGACAATGCCTACTTTCAAACATTGCAATGCTTATTGCCTAGCCTGACACAGAGGAGCTAAAGAGTAACTAGAAGTCCACCCTTTCTTCTAGTGATGGCTAAATGGGGAAATCAGTGAAAGGAACCAGGAGAAAATTACACTCAAAAGGCCACAATTTGGGGCAGCTGGGTGGCTCAGTTAAGTGATCAGCTCTTGGTTTCAGTTCATGACCTCAGGGCCACACCCCACGTTGGGATCTGCATTCAGTGGGTGTCTGCTTGAGGATTCTCTCTCCCTCTGCCCCCTCCACTCTCATTCTAGAGGTGGAGGAGGTCAGAGAGGGAATCTCAAGCAGACTTCCTGCTGAGCACGAAGCTGGTTCAGCACTCGATACCACGACCCTGAGATCTAACCTGAGCCAAAATCAAGAATCGGGTTTAACCGACTGAGCCACCCACGTGCCCCATAAATAAATCTTAAAAAAAAAAAAAAAAGGGGATCCCTGGGTGGCGCAGCGGTTTGGCGCCTGCCTTTGGCCCAGGGCGCGATCCTGGAGACCCGGGATCGAATCCCACGTCAGGCTCCCGGTGCATGGAGCCTGCTTCTCTCCCTCTGCCTGTGTCTCTGCCTCTCTCTCTCTCTCTGTATGACTATTGTAACTAAATTAAAAAAAAAAAAAAAAAAAGATTAAAAAAAAAAAAAAAAAGGCCACAATTCACCTTCATCTACAATTAGCAATGCTTTCACCTACTCTGCCTTCAGTCCCTTGGGACTATCACGGAACAGAGTTCAGAGATTCGATCTCTGCACTCTCCGAGGAACTCAGGCCATCCCTGGGAATTATTAGAGCCAGGAAGGGGTTTCCACTGATGAAGCACCTGTGAGCTGGTGGAGCGGTTTCTCATGGGAGCAGTGGCCTATGCACATCACTTTCTGGTAAACACAGGCTGGGTGATGCTAGAGTGGCTTCCCAGGGAACTCCTGTTGCAGGGGAGGCAGTTAAGAGGAAGAGGCCCTAGAAGACTGTTGATACTGAGCCCAGGATCCTGAGAAAAGGATTGGGAATGAAATGAAGAGCATACCTCCCAGCGGCTTAGGTACCCATGTCGGCCCAACTGACCACACATCATGGCTCTCAAGGGGGCCTCTTCTCTTGGGCTACCTTGTAGACTTCCTGGGTCCCCTCATTTCTCTGTAACAGCATCTCTGACCATTTCTGGGTCTCTTGGTGGCAGCTTGCAGAGGTTGTCCCTGCTCCCTGAGCTCTCCCCTCTCTGGCTGTCATCTTTATGCCTCAGCCTGTGTCTTTCAGCTAACCATGCTCAGCCCTCTTCCCTTTCATACTCTGGTCCCGTCTCTCCTGTTTCTCTTATCTTCAGGTCTGAGATTCTCTCCAACCCTCCGTCTCTATTCCTTGTCAGCCCTCTCATTTGCTCGTTCAGTCGTTTTTTTTCTGACGCTCTACTTTTGTCTCTCCAGTTCCCAGTCTCCATCACTGCCTCTCCCTCCATCATGACTATTCATCTCCATTTCTCCACCTAATATCTTGTCTCCCAGTTGTCTGATGCTTTAATAGCTAACAGCGCTCCTCACGTGTCAGGTACTATTCTAAATCACAGGTCTATTTACATGCACAACTACATACATACACACATCTACACTTTCCTCATGTTAAGAAGGTGCTACTATCCAGGGAGCCTGAGTGGCCCAGCCAGTTGAGCATCTGACTCTAGGTTTCAGCTCAGGTCATGATCTTAGGGTCATCAAGCTCTGCACCGCTTGAAATGCTCTCTTTCCCTCGCCCTCTGCCCCTCCCCCTCTAAAACAAATAAACCTGGGATCCCTGGGTGGCTCAGTGGTTTAGTGCCTGCCTTTGGCCCAGGGCGTGATCCTGGAGACCCAGGATCAAGTCCCATGTCAGGCTCTCTGCATGGAGCCTGCTTCTCCCTCTGCCTGTGTCTCTGCCTCTCTCTATCATGAATAAATAAATCTTTTTTAAAAGGTGCTATTATACTCCCTATTGTACTGGGCCAACGACATGTTAAGTACATAGTGAGACAATGAATTCAAATCTAGGGAGTCAGGCTCCTATTCCTGTTTTTCTCCGTGGTCTGGCTTTATCTCTCCGTTTTTCAACTCGACACGGTCTTTTCGGTTCTCTTTGCTGTTTTCCAGCTGCACCATCTCTTCATCGCACCCCATTTCCCCACACTCTGGATGGCTCTCTTCATTGGTCTGCCCTAATCCCCTGGCTCCCATGCGCCTCACTCACTTCCCACCTCCGGCTTTCTCTCCAAGTCTCTTTCCCTCGGTGGGCTCTTCCCTTCTCTCAGTCCCTCCGTCAGCTTTTGCCAGGTTCTCCTTTCCTCCACTGCCTCTGTCTCTCTGGATCTATCAGGCTCTATGAACCAAGAGAAATTTCACAAAGCCGGAGTTGGGAGGCCGGAAGGATGGGGCGGGGGGGGGGGGGGCTCTCCTGCGGTACCACCTGAGCTCAATCCCTGCAAGAATTGTCAATTACAGGCTCCCACAGAACTGCCGACAGGAGAGAATCATGGATCACAGGTGCCAACAGGAAAGGAGGTGCAGCTGCATCTCCTACAGGAAAGTGACCATCCCAGCAACTCAGCCAATGAGAAACCGTCACCCCCCTGGATTCTTGCTCTTCTCCAGTCGACTTCCCATTCAAAACCACTCCTTCCGAACTTCCTTCTTCTCCATAAATTTATCTTCTCTGTTGGGCTAGCCTATGGCTTTTGCAGTAGCCGGCGTGTCCCAGGTAGCAACCCTGTCATCCCCTCGGGCTGGTAACCGCGAAGGTCCTCGTGGGTCTCGCTGGTGCGTCTGAACCGCCCGCTTCCTCAGTCTATTTCCGTTCGCTAGCTTCCCAACCCTCCAGGTGCCCGGGGCCACCACATTTCCCGGCAGCCCCCGGGAGGCGCCCTGGAGGTCCCCATCAGCTCTCCGCCCGCATCTCCCCGGTCTGCGGCTTCCGTCCTGCCTCAGCCTCCCCAGGCTTCTTTTCGTGCCTCCCGTTTCTTCCAGTCTCGGGGCCTCCGTGTCGCCCAGGGACTCTCGGGGCGCTCAGGCTCCACCTCCGTCCGCTTCTCCCGGACCCCCTGTCTCCTCCAACGCATGTCCTCCTCTTGGGACTTCCCTCCTCACCCCTCGGCTCGCTCCCCAGCCACCCAGCCCGGTCGGACACCACACACCCGCCGCTGCCGCCACCCCGGCCCCGCGCAGCCGCCCCGCCCCCCTCACCTCACAAATCGCCCGGATCGCTCCAACTTCCGGTCCCCAGCGTCCCTCACGCGCCCGAAGCCGGTTCTGCGCGTGCGCACGCCACCCTCAGGGCCAGGCTCCACCCCGCCGCCGGCAGAGGAGCCAGTGCGGAACTGGGAGCGGCCACAACCCACTCTGCGCCTGCGCACAGCACGCTCCGGCTCCGCCTGTTTCTGAACCGAGCCGCGAGTGACGCTGCGCCCTCTAGGGGTCGGTGGTAGCGCTGCAGTGGAGACTTGCAGGCGCCTCCGCCCAGGTGCGCGCAAGCTCTGCGCTCCCCATGAATCTTCTCTTGCACCCAGATCACCCCACGCCAAGGACAAAGCTGACCGGAGCCCAGACACTATTAAACTGCTCCCATGGTTTATTCACTATAATTCATAATTCTTTTTCTTAAAGATTTGATTTATTCATGAGAGACACAGAGAGAGAGTGGCAGAGACACAGGAAAGGGAGAAGCAGGCTCCCTCCTGGGAGCCCCATACGGTACTGGATCGCAGGACCCTGGGATCATGACCTGAGCCGAAGGCAGACGCTCAACCACTGAGACACTCAGGTGCCCCTAATTCATAATTACTAATGCGGGATCCCTGGGTGGCGCAGCGGTTTGGCGCCTGCCTTTGGCCCAGGGCGCGATCCTGGAGACCTGGGATCGAATCCCACGTCGGGCTCCCGGTGCATGGAGCCTGCTTCTCCCTCTGCCTGTGTCTCTGCCTCTCTCTCTCTGTGACTATCATAAGTAAAAAATAAAAATTAAAAAAAAACAATATAATCATAATTACTAATGCATAATTCTATTGTATAATTCACCCTAGCAATTCACTAATAATTCAACTCAACTCCCCAGCCCCTTGAAGGCAGGGGCCATTCTCCTCTTGGAGGCCCTGTGTTGTCCAGCGGCCACCACAAGGATCAGAGAGTCCGTAAATGTTTGTTGAATGAATGACTAAATGAATGAGAAAACAGAGTCCCCTCTGGTCCCAGGTGCCCCAGTCATTGTGGGTCTGAGAATAACACCAGGATAATATCCCCGTTTCAAGATCACTGGGGAAAGTAAGCAAAAATATATTACACAAGGTACATACACAAATTGCTTTTTCACGAGTGTACATAGTAGACCCTCAAGAAATGTGAGAGCTTTCATTTTTATTTTTTTTTAAATCCTTTTTTTTAAAATTTATTTATTTACAATAGACACAAAGAGAGAGAGACAGAGACACAGGCAGAGGGAGAAGCTGGCTCCATGCCGGGAGCCCAATGTGGGACTCGATCCGAGGTCTCCAGGATCGCGCCCTGGGCCAAAGGCAGGCACCAAACCACTGAGCTACCCAGGGATCCCTAGAGCTTTCATTTTTAGTATATCGTGCCATCATTCTCCTTTTTCCTTAAAATATCTCCATTATCCTTAAGATAATGTTGTTTTTGAGAAGGTTACAGCTTTTTTTTTTTTTTTAAACTTTTTTTTTTTTTTAAATTTTTATTTATTTATTTATGATAGTCACACAGAGAGAGAGAGAGAGAGGCAGAGACACAGGCAGAGGGAGAAGCAGGCTCCATGCACCGGGAGCCCGACGTGGGATTCGATCCAGGGTCTCCAGGATCACGCCCTGGGTCAAAGGCAGGCGCCAAGCCGCTGCGCCACCCAGGGATCCCAGGTTACAGCTTTTGATTCCAGAGCCAGTTCTAGGAACTGAGAATACAGCGGTAAACATAACAGATAAAGTCCCTGCTCCCATGGAGCTTGGGTTTTAACAGGAGAAACAGACATTTAAATATTTTTACTGAGGGACGCCTGGGTGGCCCAGCAGTTGAGCATCTGCCTTGGGCTCAGGGCACGATCCCAGGATCTGGAATTGAATCCCGAATCGGGATCCTCAAGGGGAGCCTGCTTCTCCCTCGGTGTGTGTCTCTGCCTCTCTCTCTCTCTCTCTCTCTCTCTCTCTCTCTGGGCCTCCCATGAATAAATAAGTAAATCCTTAAAATATATTTTAAGGATTTATTATTATTAAATATATTTATTTATAAATATATTTTTTCCGCTGAAATAAAAAATAAAAAGAATGTCAAGCAGTAGTGTCATGCTCTATGAAGAAAAACCAGCAAAGGGGCAAGGAGTGATGTTATTTTAAGTAGCGTGGTCAGAGAGCATAGCTCCAAGGAAGTAGTATTTGAGCAGAAATAAGTGAAGCAACAAGCCATGGAAATCCTGGGAGGTGGAGGAAATAGCAAGTGCACAGTGCCATGGCAACAAAGTCGGTAGGTTCACAAGTGAGGTCAGCAAGAGGGTGTGTGTGTGTGTGGAGGGAAGGAGGGAGGGGGAAATAGCTGGAAATGAGGTGGGGAAAGGAGCGTAGATCAAGCACACTTAGGGGAGGATTTTTGGCTTGGCTTCTCATCTGAGTGAGGTTGGCTTCTCATCCATGGGAGGAGTTTGAACAGAGGAGGGACCTGAGACTTGATCTGGCTTAGATTTTGGCTCGTGGGCAGGGAAACCAAGATTGTAGGGAACCAAGATGAGGAAAGCAGACCAGGGAGACAGCTGATGCCTAAGTGAGAGATTGTGGACCAGGACGATGGCAGAGAAAATGGTGAGAAGTGGTCAGATTCTGTGGATACTTTAAGGTAGAGCCTGGAGGGATCAGCTGACAGATTGGCCATTGAATGTGGGAGAAAGAGAAGCGTCAAGGATGACCTCAGAGTTTGTGACCTGCGTGCCTTCAAATGTGGAGTTGTCATCAACTGAGATCGAAAAGTAGGGTGGAAGGGCTGAGAGAAAATCCAGAGTTCCATTTTTACCATATTCGAGTTTGAGTGAGGTGTTGCACACTGAGTTGGGATGTCAAGAGGGAAGTTGGAGGCAATTACCAAGCCTTTAGAAAACAATCTGAACACGGAGAAGCCAATTCGCATTTTGTCATCAAAAGAAGAAGGGGAGGGGGATCCCTGGGTGGCACAGCGGTTTAGTGCCTGCCTTTGGCCCAGGGTGCGATCCTGGAGACCCAGGATCCAATCCCACGTTGGGCTCCCGGTGCATGGAGGCTACTTCTCCCTCTGCCTGTGTCTCTGCCTCTCTCTCTCTCTCTCTCTCTCTCTCTCTGTGACTATCATAAATAAATAAATAAAAATTAAAAAAAAATAAAGCTTTAAAAAAAAAAAAAGAAGAAGAAGGGGATGGACGCCTGGGTGGCTCAGCAGTTGAGTGTCTGCCTTCGGCCCAGAGCATGGAGTCCTGGGATCCAGTCCCACATCGAGCTCCCTGCATGGAGCGCGCTTCTCCCTCTGCCTATGTCTCTGCCTCTCTCTGTCTGTCTGTCTCTAATGAATAAATAAATAAAATCTTAAAAAAAAAAAGAAGGGGAAGAAATTGATTAAGCAATGCTTGAAATTTCCAGAAGAGAACTGTAATTTATTTTTTAACGAAAAATGGAAGGACGTAAACGACAAATACCATGTCAGGATGTAAGTTGCAAACTGCCAACACTAGGATTGAATCGCAAACTTGAAATTTGTTCTTGGAAAAAGATTAAGACCTGGTGCTTTGGAAACAAGGGAATCAATGCATTCAAAAAACAAACAAAATTAAGAACAGAAAAGGGGAAGTGGCAACAACAACAAAAAAAGGCAAGATTATTTTTCATGACCAAGTTGCACAGAAATACATTCAAGGGGTACCTGGGTGGCTCAAATGGTTGAGCAACTGACTCTTGATTTTGGCTCAGGTCATGATCTGAGGTTCCTGGGATCCAGCCCCACATTGGGCTCCAGGCTCAGGGGGGAGTCTGCTTGAGGTTTCTCCCTCTGCCCCTTCCCCCCACTCACATCACTCTCTCTCTTAAATAAATTTTTTTTAAGATTTTATTTATTTATTTATTTATTTATTTTGAGAGAGCGAGCAAGAGCACAAGCAGGGAGGAGAGGAAGAAACAGTTTCCCTGTGAGCTGGGATCCCAACATGGGGCTTGATCCCAGGACCCTGAGATCATGACCGGAGCCAAAGGCAGATGTTTAACCAACTGAGCCACCCAGGAACCCCCAAATAAATAAATCTTAAAAAAAAAAAAAAGAAATACATTTGAAAGCTTATGTGAAAGTGATTCTTTTTTTAAATAAGTACAGTAGTTGCAGTAATAAGTGAAAATAAATTTAAAAAAATAAAAGACTTTTACAAACATATTTTAATTTTTTTTTTAATGATAGTCACACAGAGAGAGAGAGAGGCAGAGACACAGGCAGAGGGAGAAGCAGGCTCCATGTACCGGGAGCCTGACGTGGGACTCGATCCCTGATCTCCAGGATCGCGCCCTGGGCCAAAGGCAGGCGCCAAACCGCTGGGCCACCCAGGGATCCCTACAAACATATTTTAAAAAGAGCTCTCCTAAATGGCACCTGGCCCCAATGGATTAACGACAGGATTTTCCCCAACTGCTCATGAAGCCCTGTAAATTGTCCCAGGACATAATTCATTCTACAAGGGAGTATTGGTCTTAATAACTCATGCATGTCAATGCTGAATAAAATAACAGGACTGAAATATGTATTGTTGAGGAACTACTATGTGTCCCTATACTAGAAAAGAGGGGAAAAAAAGATAGCAAGAAAGAGATCCTCATCACTGGGGAGCTCACAGTGTAGCTGGAAAACAGGGTGTAGACAAATAAAGACAGTTTTGGTGTTTCTAAGGCCTGGGATGATGGGAGAAGAAATAAAAATAACTCAGCTGTTGCCCTTGAGGAATTTACAGCTTACCTGGGAACTTGTATTCCAGAAACTCTACCCAGAGAGGAGAAGACTACTCCCTCCCTCGGAGGGGGATGAATCAGAGAAGATTCCCTGGAGAAAGTGTCATTTGAGCAAGGCATTGGAGGAAAATTTCAGAGATGAGAGGATGGACACTGGAGTCAGGGAACATGAGATCAAATCCCAGTTCTACAACTTCCTTGCTGTGTGATCTTGGAAAAATGACCTCCCTTCCCTGGGCCTCGTCTTATAAAATAAGACATCTCCCCTTCCTTCCCTGTGTTGCTATAGGAATTACTTAAAGGAGAAACTATGTGTAGGATGCTGTGCTGGAGTAATGATTCTGTGACTTCAGAGATGTGAGCGGGTGGGATTCTCGAGCAGTCCTGTCTAGTAAAACTCTCTGCGGTGATGGAAAGGCCCCATATCTGCACTGCCCGGCAGGAACTAACACGGGGCTAATGAGCTTCCAACTAGCAACTGGTGCAACTGGGGAACTCAGTTTTAGATTTTATTTATTTTTCATGAGAGAGACTGAGACAGAGACACAGGCAGAGAGAGAAGCAGGCTCCCTGCGGGGACCCTGATGCAGAACTTGATCCCAGGATCCTGGGATCATGCCCTGAGCTAAAGGCAGTTGCTCAACCATTGAGCCACCCAGGTGTTCCAGGTACTCGATTTTTAATTTGCATTCATTTGAATCTGAATAGGCACAGACACCTAGTGATTATCAGAATGGACAGCATAGATCCGGAGGGCATTCCAGGCAGTGGGACCAGCTTGAGCAAAGGCCCAGGGGCATGAAAATAATACAACCCAGAGGATTAGTCTCCTGTATGGGAGTAGTAGTCCCTGTAGTCTCCTGTATTAGTCTCCTGTGACTGCTGTAACAAGTTATCACACACTCAGTGACTTAAAATAGTACAGATTTATTCTGTACAAGTTTTGGAGGTCAGAAGCCTAAAATCAAAGTGTCGGCAAGCCCCTGCTGGGGCTGCATTCCTTAGTCAGTGACCCCTTTCTTCCATCACTCTGACATCTGCTTCTGCTGTCACATCTCTGCTACTGACCCTGATCCTCCCGTCTCCCTCTTATAAGGACCCTCGCAATTGCCTTGGGCCCACCCGGATAATCTAGGATCCTCTTCCCACCTCAAGATCCTCAATCACAATGGCAAAGTTCCCTTTGCCACATAAATCACATATTCCCAGGTCCAGGGGATTAGGATGTGGGCCTCATTAGGGGCCATTACTCTGTCTGCTACATCAGTCTGAGCAGCTAGAGCATAAACGTGTCCAGTGGCAGAGAGAAGCCTCGAATACCAAGCCAAGGAGCTAGGATATAGCCTTTCTGTCGAAATAGATCCATAACCTGTCACCTTCTCACCACCTCTGCTATCACCCTGACCCAAGTCACCGTCACTTCTTGCTGGGATCATGGCAGTAGTCTCTTTGCTAAAGCACTTGCTCCTCATGTCCCTCCTCTCTCCCCCCTGGTCTAGTCTCCCAGTGACTAGAGGGATCCTATTAAAATCTAAGTCAGATCAAGACACTTCTGTGCACATAAATAGGGTTGCCCAATTTAGAAAAAAAATGTACAGACTGTTCCCTTAAATTTGAATTTTTGATAAACGATGAATGATTTTTATTTTTAAAAAATTTTTAAGGATTTTACTTTTTAAAAGATTTTTATTATTACTTTGAGAGAGAGAGTGAGTGCTGGGGAGGTGCAGAGAGAGTCTTAAGCAAACTCCATGCTGAGCACAGAGCCTGATGCAGGGCTGATCCCATGACCCTGAGATCACAACCTGAGCCAAAGTCAGACACTTAACCAACTGAGCCACCCAGGAGCCCCAAAGATTTTAAGTAATTTCCATACCCAGCATGGGGCTCGAACTCACAACCCTGAGATCAAGAGTCACAAGCTCTACAGACTGAGCCAGTCAGGTGCCCCAAACAAATAAATTTTTTACAGTTTCAAATATTGCATGGGACATACTCCCGCTAAAAAACAAAACAAAACAAAAATACCTTTTTCCCATTGTTTATCTGAAACTAAATTTAATTGGATATTGTATATTTTATCTGCTAACAGTTCAGAACCCTGCCGTGGATCTCCAAACCCTTGCTCTGACCTGGTGGGCTTTCAAATCCGGCCCTCACTACCTCTCTCCCTTTGTCTCACCCACTGTCCCTCTCCCCTGCTCCCGCAGCTTCTTCCACACTGGCCTCTCCATTCTTCCTGAAATATGCCCAGCATATTGTGCCTCAGGACCTTTGTACTTGCGGCTCCCTGTATATGCTTTTCCGCCAGATTTATGAATGATTCCTCCCTCCTTTCTTCAGGCCTTGGCTCAATTATCACCTTACCCAATGGGCCTTGCCTAGCTTACACATACCCCTGCCCTAATCAGTCCTCTCTGTCCCCTTTAGGTTACCACCACTTGACATACTCCATATTCCCTTTTCCTTTGCTCTTTTTCTGTCTTCCTCCACTAGAATGCCAGCTGCCCCGGGAGACAAGGATTTGTGTCCTTTTGGTCACTGCTACTCCCCCACTGCTACTCACCCAGTAAGGCCTCACACGTAGCAGGTGCATAATGAATGTCTGTTGAATGGACAAAGAAAGAAAGATCATCCAGCCCCCTGGATCCAGCTTTTCCTGAAGCCAGCTTGACAAAATAGGGCGGAAGCACCCAAACCAGTTTCCTTCGGGCCTACACCTCCACCTCTGAGACTAGGTCATGGCTGGTGGATTTCTTGCCAACCACACTTTCATCCTTGCTCTGTGACTCTTTCAGGGCCCGGCGGCAGGCGGCTGGCAGTGACTTGCACAGGTGAGTCCTCCCGAAATACAGGAAGAGCACGGGATTGAGACAGCTGTGAGCCAGAGCAAGGCCGATGACCAGGGGTTCAGCCCGCAGAGCCCGGGCCAGGAGCCTGGAGTGCGGGGCCGCCACAGTGATCACCAGCCCCAGCAGGTGGTAGGGGGCCCAGCAGACAAAAAAGCCCAGCACGACCGCCACGCCCAGGGGCCAGCGGTGCGGGGCGGCCCGGCACAGCAGGGCACCGTGGCAGCTGGCCACGACCACCAGTGGCCCCAGGAAGCCGCACACAAAGCGGGAGGCCGCCACGGTGCTCTCAACCACGGCCGAGCCCCCGTAGTCCACCACGCACTCCAGCAGTTGGGGGAAGTGCTCCTGGTGCAGCCGGTGGTACATGACCGAGGGTACAGTGAGCAGCAAAGCCACGGCCCAGGCCACGGCGCAGGCGACCTGCACCCTGCGCGCCCGGCCCCCCGCAGCGCCCCAGCCCGGCCTGAGCGCCAGCAGGCAGAGGTCGGCGCTGAGAGCCGCCAGGAGGAGCACGCTGGCGTACATGGACAGCAGGATGAGCGAGGACAGGGTGCGACAGCCCAGTGCCCCGTACGGCCAGTGGCCCCCGCGCGCCATGGGCACCGCCAGCACCGGCAGAGACAAACAGCACAGCAGATCCGCCACGGCCAGGTGGAGGAACCAGGTGGCACCCACCCTCCGGCGGGCCTCTTTCCAGGTCACCCAGGCCACCGTGGCATTGCCGGGCACGCCCACCAGGAAGACCACAGCATACAGCAGGAACGGGGCGGCGCTCAGCGGGTCCGTGGAGACGCAGGAGCCGTCCACGCAGTCCACGGGGAGATCCGGGATCTCGTCGTAGTGCCCATAGTCGTAGCTGACAGATGTGTTCTCCATCCAGGCCCCAGGCTCCTGAACAGGAGAGAAAGCAGTGGAAGCTGGTCGAGGAAGCCCTCAGGCCCCTGCAATCCTCAGGGGTGGGGACCCCACCGGCAGCTTGGAAACGACTGTGACAGTGTCAGAGCTCCGGTGCATTCTAATACTGGAATTCTAGAACCTTAGAACTAGCTCGGTAGCATCTTGGGATTAGCCAATAGCACGATGTTGGAACCCGAGCAGACTACTATACTGGAATTCTAGGATGCCAGGGGGTTAGAACAGTAGCCCTAGGTGAGCATCCAGGAATTCTAGAATATGACAGTGTTAGAAAGCATCTTGGGATTCTGGAACATTACAATGTTAGAATGTGATCGTTTTGTTTGTTTGTTTGTTTGTTTGTTTGTTTTTGGAATCTCCAAATAGCATACCATTAGAACTGCAGCCAATTATTTATTTATTTTTAAAGATTTTATTTATTTATTCATGAGAGACACAGAGAGAGAGAGAGAGGCAGAGACACAGGCAGAGGGAGAAGCAGGCTCCATTTAGGGAGCCCGAAGTGGGACTCGATCCTGGGACTCCAGGATCACGCCCTGGGCCAAAGGCAGGTGCTAAACCGCTGAGCCACCCAGGGATCCCCGAACTTCAGCCAATTATTATTTGGAATTCTAGGGCAGCACTGTGGGATCCAATATTCAGTGTTGATGGAAACATTCTTTAAAAAAAAAAAAAAGATTATTTATTTATTTATTTATTTATTTATTTATTTATGAGAGGAGAGAGAGAGAGAGCGCGCGCACAAGCAGAGGAAAGCTGCAGAAGGAGAGGGAGAAGCAGGCTCCCCACTAAGCAGGGAGCCCGAGGCAAGGCTCGATTCCAGGACCCTGAGATCATGACCTGAGCCAAAGGCAGATACCCAACCAACTGAGCCACCCAGGTGCCCCTGGTGGGAATGTTCTAGATCTGAACCATCCAATCTGTAACTACCTGCAGGCCAAAAGGTGCTACTGAGCATTTGAAGTGGGACTAAATTTTTAGACTAATTTTTGAGACTAAAAATCTTCTGATTTTACTTAAATATAAATAGCTACACATGGCTAATGGCTACTTCATTGGACAGGGAGATTCTAGAGCACTGAAATGTAACACTAGCCCGTTAGCAAACTGGAATTCTAGAATTTATTTTATTTTTTTTATTTTTTTGGAATTCTAGAATTTAAAACATTGGAATCCAAATATCCATTAAGAGGGGGAAAGGTTAATACGCATTCACAGCAAAAGTAAAAGTACTTGTCTTGGTTCTTCTTCACTGGTATTTTTGTATCTCGGTACAATGAAAATGTACCCCGGGAGAAATTGTGTTATTTTGTTTTTTGCATAAACTAGAGCACACACACAGACAGCAGGGTACGCACATCACATAGGTCCAGCTCACTGGGTTTCACAACCTGAACGCAGCCGTTTAAGAGGCACCCAGATGGAGAAACAGAACATACCTAGAATCCTAATAGAGCAATTTTTTAAAGTCTCTATGGTGTTTGGAAAACAGGAAAAATAAAATGTTGAATTCCCCGGCCAGGAGATCCATTCATTCATTCAAGAAAGGTCCTGAGTCCCTTCTCTCTTCCAGGCACTGCATGCCTAGCAGGGCACGTGACAAACCAAAACCTCTTTTGTCTCAGAGCTGACACTCTAGCGGGAGGAGTCAGATAAGGAAAAAGACAAATTAGAAATAAATAAGCAAAATACAGTGTCTTAGAAGGTGAAAAATGCTACAGAAAAAAAAAGGATCACACGGGATTTTAAATGAGTGGTCAAGGAAGGCCTCTCTGCGGAGGTGACACTGAAGCAAAGTCATAAAGGAGGTGAGGGACGAGCCATGTGGGGACCCGAGAGAAGAGAGCTCCAGGCAGAGGAGACAGCCAGTGCAAAGGCCCTGAGGTGGGGACATGATGATCATGTTCAAGGAACAGCAAGGACACCAGTGTGGCTGGAGTGGAGTAGGCGAGGCAGAGAAGGGGAAGGTAAGAACAGAAAGACATCATGGACCGCAGGGAGCATTTTGAGGACATTTTCTTTTATTCCATGTGAGATCGGGGCCACAGGAGGGTGGTGAGCAACGAAGCGATATGATCTATCATAGCAGTAGTGATGATAATGACATTACTATTATTATATATTATTAATAGTATTATTATTATTAGAAGCCACCATGCATTGAGCACTTTGTGTCATGTGTCTGGCATTGCTCCAAACACCTTTAAATCATATCATTTGATCCTTACAACAACCCTCTGGTTCTAATACCATTATCATACTCACTCCGCAGATGAGAAGTACTTACCTACGATCATTCAGCTAAGCAAGTACCCAAGCTGAGTTTTGTTTTTTTGTTTTTTTGTTTTTTTTCCAAGCTGAGTTTTGAACCATGCTAGCCCCACTCTGGAACTCCGGGCCCTCGAGTATACTCACCCCAAAACCTTAGATTCGAGAGACAGAAGGTCATGCGGCCCGTGGCCCTCAGCAGACCCGGGCTCCGTAACACAGTTTCAGTTGGCTCTCGGTTTCCTCGTCTGAAGAATGAGTCACCGAGAGGAACCTACCTCACCAGTTTGTGGGAGGCCTCAAGCAGTTGACAGGTGTAAAGCACGTGGCAGAGATTAAGGGCTCAGGTCATGGCAGGCTCTCTGCTGCGGCTCTCTGCTGGCTCTCCTGGGCTGGCTGGCACTACCCAGAGCTCTAGCTGGCATTGATGCAACAGGAAAAGCAGAGGGGAAGTCGGCGTGCTGCTCTCTGCCCCTTCCGCCCTGCCAAGGAGCTGCTAAGAGGCCCAGCCACTTTGTGGTGCGTGCGTGCATGCATGTGTGTGTGTCCAGCCACTCTGTGCATGTGTGTGTCTGTGTATCTGTGCGCATGTGTTTGGAGTTTGGCATGCTGCTTTTGTATTATTTCATCATTAGAATCAAAAGGGTGCAGGCTTTAAATATTCAAAGACTGGGCAGCCCGGGTGGCTCAGTGGTTTGGTGCTGCCTTCGGCCCAGGGTGTGATCCTGGAGTCTCGGGATTGAGTCCCACATCGGGCTCCCTGCACGGAGCCTGCTTCTCCCTCTGCCTCTGCCTCTGCCTCTGCCTCTCTCTCTCTCTCTCTCTCTCTGTGTCTCTCATGAATAAATAAATAAATAATTTTAAAATAAATAAATAAATAAAAATTCAAAGCTTCATCAGCTGTGTGGCCTTGGGCAGGTCACTTAACCTCTTCAGCTTCCTCGTCTGTAAAATGAGAATGATAATATTCCCACCTTGGGGTGTGACGAACATTCAGTAAGTGACTCGGCGTGAAGAGCCCAACGCGGTGCCTGGTCCGCAGCGAGCCTCAGCCACCTGCTAGCTGCTGGTGTGCGCGCCCTCTCTCCCCGCCCTCAGACCCCACACTGCCCAGTTTTTGCTGGTCGAAATCCGGGAAATTTTCTGCATGTTGGCAGCTCAGCCAGTCTGTGGTATTTCCCTTTTAATATCTCAAACAGAAATGCAACATCCAACACCCGCTGTGTCATCCCCTTATCTCTTCCAAGTAACAAATGTGTTTTCGATCTGTTTCCCTATCTGCACACGCATCAACCCTCTCCTACAACAGCTTCAGAATCAGCCCGCTGGCTGGATGGGCCGTGCTTACGAACCAGCCTTGGGCTATAAATAAAAGACATTTAATGATAATCACGAATAGCCTTATTATTTTATCATCATCTTGTACAATAGATTATATTCATAAAAAAACAAAAAATGACATTCATATAGTTACATCTACACATAAAACATAATTGCCATGATTATTATTATTACATTATTTTATAAAATATTTTATTTATTTATGCATGAGAGAGGCAGAGACACAGGCAGAGGGAGGAGCAGGTGCCCTGCAGGGAGCCCGACGTGGGACTCAGTCCGAGGACTGCGGGATCATGACCTGAGTCAAAGGCAGGCAGGCGCTCAACCGCTGAGCCACCCAGGTGTCTCTTATTATTTTATATATAACAATTAAGACAGCGGGTGACATTGATCAAACACCTCTCATGTACCAAGCACAACCCTTACGACAACCGTATGACGTGTTATTGTTATGCTCCATTTCCCAAACCGCCGGCTACTTGGGCATCACCGTGTCCCCGGCATCTAGAACGGCACCTGGCGCGCAGCAGGTGCTTCGTTGGTATTCGGTGAGTCAAAGAATAAAGAGTGAAAGTGAGGCACAGGGAAGCAAAGGGGTCACTTAGGTTTCTTTCGGTTCCTTAAGCTCGCAAGCGCCAGTGTGTGGGCTCTTGGTATGTGTGTGCTTGCAAATCAGCCAGTCTCCTTGGAACTTCTGCTCTGGGGAACCACAGGGCAGACTCGACTTAACCCTGACATAGGATACCTCGCCCCTCCTTGCAGAGAAGCACACACATGCTCATCAAAAAACATGCGCCAGGAAAGACGTGTTCATAGCAGCCCTTGATGGGAAACCACCCTGATAGTCGCCCCCGGGGGGATGGGATGAATAAACACACTGTGGTATGTTCATGCAATGGAATATTCTATAGCAGATGAACAAACCACACACATGAATGTGGGTGGATTTCATACACACAGAACTGGGGGGAGAGAGGCAGACACACAGGGGAGGTGACTGAGTGATATCATTCACTCAAGTTCAAAACCGAGCAGAAGCAGTCTATGGGGGGTGGGTAGTGAGCGGGGGAACAGGAGGGTGCATCGGCTTGTGCTGTTTCCTTTTTTTAAGATCCTTTTTTTTTTTTGTTTGACAGAGAGAGAGCATAAGCAGGGGGAGAGGGAGAAGCAGGCTCCCCACTGAGCAGAGAGCCCGACTCAGGATGCGATCCCAGGACCCTGGGATCCGGATCACAACCTGAACCGGAGGCTGATGCTTAACCAACTAAACCACCCAGGCATCCCGGCTCATGCTGTTGCTTGACCCGGGCGCTCATTACCTGTGCACACAGTTCTGACACGTGTGCGTGTTATACATGGAAATAAAGATTTCTCTTCGGAAGCAGAGTTGGTAGGCAGCACGGGTGGCTCAGGGTTTAGCGCCGCCTTCAGCCCAGGGCCTGATCCTGGAGACCCAGGATCGAGTCCCACGTCGGGCTCCCTGCGTGGAGCCTGCTTCTCCCTCTGCCTGTGTTTCTGCCTCTCTCTCTCTCTCTGTGTCTCTCATGAATAAATAAATAAAACCTTTAAAAGAAGAAGAAGTAGAGTTGGTGGGGCACCTGGGTGGCTCAGCGGTTGGGCATCTGCCTTTGGCTCAGGTCGTGATCCCAGGGTCCTGGGATCAAATCCCGCATGGGGCTCCCTGGAGGGAGCCTGCTTCTCCCTCTGCCTAAGTCTCTGCCTCTTTCTGTATGTCTCTCGTGAATAAATACATAAAATGTTTAAAAGAGAGAGAGAGAGAGAGAGAGAGAGGTCATTTGCTCTACACCTGAGCACACCAAATATGCAGATCCTTTGACAAAAAGCTCTTCCCTTTGGCCTCCCAAGTAAATTCCAAGAGTCTGGAATTCCAGTGTCATGAGGATAAGATTCCACCTCTCACATTCTAGTTCTGATTCCCAGATTCTGAAAATAATTAGTCGAGCTGGTCAAATGACCCCCTCCTGTCCATCCTTCCCTCCCTCCGTCCCTCCATCCTTACCGTCTCTTGTAAGAGGATCCTCATCTTGCCCAAATGCCACGCGGGAACACGATCCGGGCTCAGAACCAGGACCCAGGAGGCCCAGGCTCTCCCCTCTCCGTGCCTGGCAGCAGGTGAATTCCTGGAAATCTGCCCCCTTACCAGGGCTCCCGGGGGACACAGCTGAGCACTGCCCACCTCACAGGTCCCAGCAAATGTTCATAACCAGGGGAACACAGGAGTGGCCTCTGCCTCCTTCCAGGGTGTGTTTATCCTGTATTCTTCCCATGACTCACACATCCCAAAATTACTGGGCAGCAGAAGCTGGAGAGCGCTCCAGGGGGGTGGAGAGTTGACCCAGTGTCGCCAACCCCCTGCTCAAGGCCATCAGTTCCTGGAAGCTAGACCTGCATGCGGTTTGACCCTGAGGCTCTTGGCCGGGACTCACTCTCCTGGGGGGGCCCTGCGAGGTCACCCTCAGGGAGCACCCACTGTCTGCTACCCTCCTGCCAGCCTCCGGCTGTGCGCCAGCTCCTCTCTCTGGCCTCGCAGAGCCTTGAAGGCAGATAAACAGTCCTCCCACCTGCCAGGGACTGCAGCAGACGGCTCAATGCCACATGCCCTGCAAAAAGGCCAAAGCCACCAAACAACACGAGCCAGACAAAACAGAAACCAATCCTGTCCTGCCCTTTCCCCGGCTTTACTCGTCTCTGAAACAGGAAGATGTTGATCATCACGGGAAGATGTTGATGGCTTGTGTCCCTAACCTCCCTCTGAGCAGAGGCACGGAGGCTGAGAAAGTGGTCTCGAGGCCAGAATGACGAGGGGCCCGGGCCAAGCCCACCGTTGATGAGATCCGGGGCCTCGCCTCTCTGGGCCTCTCCTTCCTCATCTGTGCAGGGGACTTTTTTTTTTTTTTTTTGCCATGAACTGGACGCGGGTGAAGAGATTGAAAGCACCTCCAACAGCAGCGGCCGCTACCTGGGCCCACTGGAAGTGGCCACCTACACGGTAGATTGAAGACAATGGAAAGAATCTAATGAAAGGTGTCAAAATTTACATTTTCAGAACACAGGCTGAGCAAGAGGAAGTGGTTCTCCCTTTTCAGAACTCTTATTCAGCAGTTGTTTGGCCCGTATACTTCTCTCTCTGTGCGGCCTTTGGGGCTGAGGGAGCTGTAGTTATACATTTCTTTTGATGTTGTTTAGGGAATCAAATCGTGTTGTTAGAGGAAGTTGTTCTGAGTCAACAGACTGGAACTGCGTGATCTGTGACGTCTCCCAGCCCCACCCTGGGGGCCTGGGTCTTGGCTAAGCCTTGCTGTGGCCCCAGACCCTCCCAAAGAGATACACGACCCCTCTGTCCCCTCCTGCCACGCCCTGGGAGGCCTCCTCACCACCCACACCCTATGGGGACCCACCCTGCTCAGAAAAGAGACGGGGATGGGGCGGGGGTGGGCACCTGGGTGTCTGCCTTTGGCTCAGGTCATGATCCCGGGGTCCTGGGATCGAGTCCCACATTGGGTTCCTACAGGGAGCCTGCTTCTCCCTCTGCCTATGTCTCTGCCTCTCTCTATGTCTCTCATGAATAAATAATTTTTTAAAAAAATAGAAGAAGAAGAAGAAGAAGAAGAAGAAGAAGAAGAAGAAGAAGAAGAAGAAGAAGGAAAAGAAAGAGACGAGGGTGTCAGAGGTGGAGGCTGGGGACTGTCCATGATCAGTGCAAATTTCTACCGACCTCCAGTTTACAGCTCAAATCTTTAGAGCTTCATAAACGCTTCAGCCGCTGAGTCTCGGGGTGCATGTTTCTCAGATTCTGAGGTTTCCTGGTGTCCCTGGTGCTTGTGGCTCTTTCCTGGGGGCCTGGGAGACTCTGGACCAAGGACAGGCTCTCTGCAGGTGCAGATGCAGACGGCTGGGGGTGGAAAGCAGGACACAACTTTTATAGAAAGAGAGGGGCCGGAGCAGCCCTGGTGGCGCAGCAGTTTGGCGCAGCTTGCAGCCTGGGGTGTGATCCTGGAGACCCGGGATAGAGTCCCACATCGGGCTCCCTGCATGGGGCCTGCTTCTCCCTCCTCCTGTGTCTCTGCCTCTCTCTGTGTGTCTATGAATAAATAAATAAAATCTTAAAAAAAAAAAAAGAAAGAAAGAGGCCACTCTGGACGTGGAATTCCTTTTTACAGCCACTCTGCAAGATACCAAGTGCCAGCTCCTCAAGGACGGGGGTGGGGGGGCTGGGGGGGTGGCCAGAAGGAGACCTTAGAAGGTTAAGTTGACATAGGAAATTGCCACGTCATGCGTCGAAATCAGTTGCATTCTTGCAAATCTGTAGCAAGAAAGCAGTTTAGTGGTTGCCAGGGGCTGGGGGGCAGGATGGGGTTTCTTTAGGGTGATGAAAATGTTCTGGACCTAGAGAGTGGTGACAGTTGCACCCCACTGGGAATGTACTAAATGCCATTAATGGTGAATGTTATATGACTAGTATTTTTCTAATTTTTTAAGTAATGAATAATAAGCCATTACACCCCCTCACTCCAAAACAGGATGACGTTTGGCAATTTCCTAGAGTTCAACCTAACATCATTTTTAAATTAATTTTAAAAATTTTAGAGATTTCCTTTTGAAGTCCTATTCCCCAGTGTGGGGCTCGAACCTACAACCCCAAGATCAGGAGTAGCATGTTCCACCGACTGAGCCGGCCAGGCGCACCCAACTTAACACAATTATAGAAACCTGGGCAGCGCAGGTGGTTCAGCGGTTTAGCACTGCCCTCAGCCCCGGGGTGTGATCCTGGGGACCCGGGATCGACTCCCACATCGGGCTCCCTGCATGGAGCCTGCTTCTCCCTCTGCCTTTGTTTCTGCCTCTCTCTCTCTCTCTCTCTCTCTCTCTCTCTGTGTGTGTGTGTGTCTCATGGATGAATAAATAAAATATTTTTAAAAATTATAGAAACCTGAAAAGGTAAATGAATGCCTAAGATAGAGAAATAAATGTCTTTTGAACAATGCGTATTACTACGTGATACTCAATGCACAGAAGAGTGTAGGTAACATCCATGTAAGATTATTGCCAAGTACAATAATCTAATGAACATCTGTAAAACCACCATCTGTCCTAGAATCTTTGAATATCTACATCAGAGGTCAGTAAACTTTTCAGGAAAAGAACAAAGAGTAAATAGTGTTTGCTGGTCAAGAAGTCACTCGTGGTCTCTGTCCCAACTACTCAACCTGCCTTGGTGGAATGAAAGTGGCCGTGGACTGAACAGGCCTGGCTGTGTTCCCAGCAAAATTCTGTTTACAAAAACAAGCAAGGGGCCAGATGCGGCCCCCAGGCTGGAGTCTGCTGACTGCTGATCCAGGTGGAAGATGCTGCAGTGTTGAAACCACAGTCTCTTAAAACATTGGAATCATAGGCTATTTGACCCAAGGGATTCTACAGGTGACTCACAGACTATTTGAATCATAGGATCTAGCCTGTCACATTGGAACCCAAAAGTGCTAGACGTGTAGAGCTCCAGCTGTTGGATGTTAGGATTTTGTAGATGGTCTGGACACGGGTGAAGGAGTGCTAGCCCTTGGCCGTCCAGTATGATAGCCACTGGCCACATGGGGCTACCGGGCATTTGGAACGTGGCGCCTCTTGAGATGCAAAATACACACTGGATTTCAAAGATTGGTAGGAAAAAGCAACATGAAATTTCTCCATAACTTTTTGTATTGATCACATCTTGAAATGATAATATTTTATTTAAAAAAATATTTTATTTATTTATTCATGAGACACAGATTGAGAGAGAGAGAGAGAGAGAGAGAGAGAGAGAGAGAGGCAGAGACAGAGGCAGAGGGAGAAGCAGGCTCCATGCAGGGAGCCCGACGTGGGACTCGATCCCGGGACCCCAGGATCACACCCCGGGCTGAAGGTAGATGCTCAATCTCTGAGCCACCCAGGCATCCCAAAATGATAATATTTTAAATATATTTGGTTCAGTGAAATGTATCACCCAAATCAATCTTGTCGATCCTTCTTGTTTCTCTTTGCTCGTCTCTTGCTTAGCTGCTGGAAAATGTAAGATCACTTATGGGGCTCCCATTGTATTCCCATCAGACGATGCAAATCTGGAGTGACACCCTCCTGAAGGTCAGAGATGGGGGGGTGGGGTGTTGATGCCTGAGAAGGTCAGGTGACACAGATGCAGGGGAGGAGGCTCTGACCCAGGCCTGGGGGAGCCTGGTCTGAAGAATAGGAGGCTGGGTGGGTGGATGACCAGGGACTCCAAGGTGGTGGGGGAGGGACACAGCCAATTCAACCAAACCCAATCATCATACTTCCTTTCCCCACCACTTCCTCTTCAAGACTTGTTGACCTAGCAGATCCACAAAACCCCAGATTTGGCAATGGCCTGGCCCTTCACCCCACTTCCCTCCTGGGCAGAGCTGCTCAACAATAGCACCTCAGAGAAGCCACCTGGATCCCGTTCACCGGCCTCTGAGTGTTTCTAGAAGACGATTGTGGGGCCCAGCCCCTGGGACCGCGCCTCCTTCCCAAGTCAGAGTGAGGGAAAGACCTCATTGCCCGTAGTCCATTCCCCAAACCAGAAGGGATGGCGGTTGGATGGGAACAGAGGTGGAGCCGGGGGTGGGGGGGTGGGGGTAGAGGAGGAAGTCAAGAAGGACTTCCTGGAGAAAGTTGCACCGTGAAATAAGGTAGAATAGAGACAGAGGAGATGCCTGGGCCGCTCAGCAGTTGAGTGTCTGCCTTTGGCTCAGGGCGTGATCCCAGGTCCGGGATCGAGTCCTGCATGGGACTCCCCACAGGGAGCCTGCTTCTCCCTCTGCCTGTGTCTCTGCCTCTCTCTGTGTGTCTCTCGTGAATAAATAAATAAAATCTTTAACAAAAAAATAAAAGAATAGGGACAGGGATGACCTTTTAAAAACAGGCCGGTAGCTGGAAGACCAGACAGGAAGCGAGGCAGAGACTCAGGTCCAGGAAGATGGGGCGCTTGGTGGATGATGGGGCTTCCTTAGGATCCCCTAAATCCTTAGGGGATTTAAGGGGTGGGAAAGGCTTGGGAGAACATGCCAAGGTCAATTTGAAGGGGGTCAGGAGGTGCTGAGGCCGCATCCTGAAGAGAGGGCTGTGAAGGTACTGGGTGAAGCTGTAATGTGAGCAGCATGTTGGAGAAAAAACTCCAGAAAGCCAACATTTAAGGTCAGAGAGAAATTCTGGCCAGTGGAGGCGAAGTGAAAGGGTGTCAGAGGGAGGAGGCAGGCTGTGGGAAGAGGGCAGGGAGAGATGTTGGCTGTCTAGGGAGAAGAGACATCCAAGATCACAAGGGTCTTCCAGGGTGGTACCCCAGACCTGAGGCTTAGGTCTCCCCCAGCGACCCTGGTGCCTGGGGATCTGTACAGGTACCAACATTTACTACCCAAACCACACACAGCCTCTTCTAGAAGCCCAGCAAAGCACCTGTCCTCTGTGTTCAGTGTCTTTATGTTTTTTTCTACTTATTTTTTATTATTTGAGAGAGAGCACACAGGCAAGTGGGGGTTGGAGAGGGGCACAGGGAGACAGAGAATCTCAAGCAGACTCCCCACTGAGCCATGGGGCTCGATCCCAGGACCCCGAGATTATGACCTGAGCTGAAGGCAGATGCTTTACCGACCTAGTCACCCAGGCTTCCCTAGACAGTGTCTTCACTTTTTTTTTTTTAAGATTTTATTTATTTATTCGGGAACCCTGGGTGGCGCAGCGGTTTAGCGCCTGCCTTTGGCCCAGGGCGCGGTCCTGGAGACCCGGGATCGAGTCCCACGTCGGGCTCCCGGTGCATGGAGCCTGCTTCTCTCTCTGCCTGTGTCTCTGCCTTGCCTCTCTCTATCTCTGTGTGTGACTATCATAAATAAATAAAAAGTAAAAAAATTTTAAAAAAAAGATTTCATTTATTTATTCATAAGAGACACAGAGAGAGAGGCAGAGACACAGGCAGAGGGAAAAGCAGGCTCCCTGCGGGGAGCCCCATGTGGGACTCGATCCCCGGACCCTGGGATCACGACCTGAGGTAAAGGCAGATGCTCAACCACTGAGCCACCCAGGTGCCCCCACACAGTGTCTTTAAATAAAAATTGTACCCCAGGCAGACGCGACAGGACTGGAGTAGCAGGATCTAACTACCTTTGGTCGCAATCACACAAGATCCCAGCCCAGCACCCCATGCGCGGGCTGTTCCCTGGACTCAGCCTGCTCTTGCAAAGAGGGAGGACGAGGCTATACTCACGTTGTCCAGCCCCACGTGGCTCCTGAGCACTTGAAGTGGGCCAGTTGGAATCGAAGTGTGCTGTGTGTAACATATACACAAGATTTTGAAGACTTGGGGGCACCTGGGTGCCTCAGTCAGTTAAGCATCAGACTTGATTTCAGCTCAGGTCATGATCTCAGGGCTGTGAGATCGAGCCCCACGATGGGCTTCATGCTCCGTGGAGAGTCCGCTTGAGATTCTCTCCCTCTCCCTCTGCCCCTCCCCCTGCTTGCCCCCTGTCTCAGTCTCTGTCTCTTTCTCAAATAAATAAATAAATAAAATCTTTCAAAAAATATTTTGGATATATTGTGTTGGGCAAAATGTAGTACGGACTGTATTAATATTTTATATATTAAATATCATTATATAACAACACAATAAAAACATATTAATAGCATAATTATTATTATATATTAATATATATTACAAACATTAATATACTGTTAATGTGTTATACATTTTCTATATTTGTATTACAGTTATGTTTTTATATTATCTAATTATAAATATAATTATTATACATGTAGCATTGTTATTCATTTAATATATAATTGTATAATATTATATTATACATTATATATTAAATCTGTATAATTGTTATATATATATATGTTATATATATTAAATCTGTATAATTGTTAACATAACATTATTATATCATAAAATATATTGCTATGGCTTCATCTGTTTCCTTTTAGTTTTTTTTTAAGTTTATTTATTTAAGTAATAGAGACTACTGATGCGGGGCTCAAACTCATAACCCCTAGATCAAGAGTCTCACACTCCACCGACTGAGTCAGCCAGGTGCTCATGATTCTCCTTAATTTTTCAGTGTGGCAACTAGTAAATTGAAAACTACCATGCAAAAAAAGAAAAGAAAAAGAAAAGAAAACTACCATGCAGCTCAATCATTTTTCTGCTGGGTGGTTCTGGTCTGTACAATATTTCTAGTCAATCCACACAGATGAACACATACACAAAACAAACAGAAAATTTTCTAAAGATTTTATTTATTTGAAAAAAAAAGATTTTATTTTATTTGAGAGAGACAAAGTGAGAGAGAGAGAGAGATCACAAGCAGAGGGGAAGGGCAGAGGGAAAAGCAGACTCCCCACTGAGCAGGGAGCCTGACACAGTGCTCAATACCAGGACCCTGAGATCATGACCTGAGCCAAAGGCAGACGCTTAACCGACTGAGCCACCCAAGTGCCCACAGAAATGTTTTAAAATTGATTACAAATAACACATTACAATGTTTATTTTTTTATTTTCATTATTCAAGTGCTGCAAACTACTTTTTTCTTTTTTTTTTTTTTAAGATTTATCTATTTATTTGAGAGAGAGAGGAGAGAACACGTGAGCAGGAGGAGGAGCAGTGGGGGAGAGAGAGAGGATCTCCAGCAGACTCCACTACTGAGTGCAGACACCCCCAAAAGCAGGGCTTGATCCCAGAATCCTGACTGAGATCATGGCCTGAGCCAAAATCAAGTTGGTCACTTAACCGACTGAGTCACCTCAGTCGCCCCCCCTCAGTCGCCCCCAGACTAGTTTTTAAGCCAAAAGTTTACACGATTGATAGAGCATTCCTTTGAAAGGGCAAAATATGAAGAGCAGAATGGTGGTTGCCAGGGGTCCAGGACAAGGCTGGAGGATGGAGGGACATGGGCCATCACGAGGAATCCCAGTGGTAATGGAAATGTCCTACACCCCCAGGGTAACAATGGCAACATCCTAGCCATGATCTTGCAACATCATTTTGCAAGAGGTCCCTATAGTGCAGCAGGTCAGGGGCACACAGGATCCCTCTGTATCTACAGTGACATTAAAATTTTCTTTCTTTCTTTCTAAAAAAAAAAAAAAGAAGAAAAGAAAGTTTTTCTTTTTCTTTTTCTTTTTCATTTTTTTCTTTTTTTTTTTTGAGACATACACACAAAACAGCAATTTACAAAGTCCAAAGTCAAATTTCCCCATGACCGTCTTCCCCTGAGGTGCCTAACCAATGTTTCCCAGCCTCTCCCTTCGGCACTCCTTCCTCACACTTGCTTTTCGCCAAATCCATTGAACATCTTTTTACTGAATATGTTTTCTCAAAACCCGATTAGTAAGACCTTCACTTACTGTTTTGTTTTTTTTTTAAATCAACTCACTTAGAAAAGCTTAGCCAAAAAAAAAAAAGAAGAAGAAAAGAAAGAAAAGAAAAGCTTAGCCAGTGAATTTTGCTTTGTCCCTCACAAGAATACTTTTTGAGATGCTCCTTAGGTTTTTTTTTTCCCCACAGGTCTCTGTAAAATAAACACGTCACCATTTTTTTTAAAGAATAGACTGTTTCTTTCTTTTTCTTTAAGATTGTATTCATTCATTTTTTTAAATATTTCTATTTATTTATTCATGAGAGACACAGAGAGATGCAGAGACACAGGCAGACAGAGAAGCAGGCTCCCTGCGGGGAGTCCGACGTCGGACTCGATCCCAGGACCCTGGGATCATGACCCGAGCCTAAGGCAGATGCTTAACTGAGCCACCCAGGCGCCCCAAGGTTAGAATGTTCCTATTTGTCTCTTTTCTATGTATCGAATGTGTCCCATGCACAATCTCCACCTGCAGCAGACATAGGGCTGTTCGGGGGGTGCTCCGAGTAATCCTGGTTTCTGCTTGTTTCCCAAAGTCCTCAGATGGAAAAGGAAAGTTGAGGGTCCCCGGAGGGACGCGTTCATCCTGGAAGTGAGGGAGGACGGGTGTGGGGAAGAAGGAAGGAATGGAGGGGAGTTCGCTCGCAGGCCAGCTCCCCACCAGGGGCTGGGTTAAAATCAGCAGAGGGGGAAGGGACAGGTGGGAGGGGGAAGCCGGGAGGCCCCCCTCACACCCCCTGGCTCTTCTGCGCTGGGGTGTCCACCGTGGAGAGCGTGAAAGACTTGCTGTCCCGGCCCACGGACTCCTCGGCCAGCACCTGCCGGAGCCTGGCGGGCAGCGACTTGAGGAAGCGGCTGTGGAACCCCTGGGCGGCCACCACGTAGATGATGGGGTTTATGCAGCAGTTGATGTAAGCCACGGCCACGCACAGCGAGTCCAGGCGGGACACGTATCTGAAGCTTTCCGAGTGCTTGTGGAACAAAGCCATCATCATCCCCGTCACCTGGTAGGGCAGCCAGAGGACAAAGAAGCTGACCACCACGGCCACCACCACCTTGAGCGTCTTGGTGGAGCGGGTGGCCTTCCGGCTCCAGGTCCGAATCAGGAGGAAGGTGTAGCAGATGCTCAGTATCACCAGCGGCCCCAGGAAGCCCACGAGCAGCCGGAGGATGGCCACGCCCCTCTCCACCAGGACCCCGACCCCGCCGTAGTCCACGGCGCACGTCATCCAGAACGGAAAGTACTCGGTGTACACCCCGCGGAAGATGAACGAGGGCACGGTCAGCAGCAGGGCCACGGCCCAGGCCACGCCGCAGGCCGCCCAGGCCAGCCCGGCCCCTCGGTAGTTCTGGCACCAGATGGGATTAAACACCAAGACAAAGCGGTCGGCGCTGATGGTGGCCAGGAGCAAGATGCTGGCGTACATGTTGAGCAGGATGAGCGAGGGCAGGATGCGGCAGGCAGCGTTGCCAAAGGGCCAGTAGCCCTGCTGGACGATGGACGAAAACAGGATGGGCAGCGCCAGGCAGGACAGGAGATCGGCCACCGCCAGGTTGAGAAACCAGATGGCATTGATGGTTCGCCGGACCTCGAAGCCCGTCACCCAGACCACCAGGAAGTTGCCTGGCACCCCCACCAGAAAGACCATCACGAAGATTACCAGGGCGATCATATCCAGGACCGACAGCTTGGGGGTGTTAGACTCATCCACAAATATGTTGGGGTCCAGGGTGGCAGTGCCATAGTCGGGGTACTCGGGGGTGCTGAAATTCATGGAGGCCTGGGGGGAATCAGAGAGGCAGGAAGAGGATGAGTTACAAACAGGTGCCAGGGGCCCATGGGAGCTACTCGTCTTGAAGCCCATCACTTTGCTTCTCTGATCCCAGGTCTCTTCCCAGGAAAATGGGGAGATCAAGGGCTAGAGCTGGCTGGGGTGTCATACCACATAGAAAATTGGAAAACCCTTTGATGCTGATTAGTCTCCCTACCACCCTACCATTGCCACCTGATGTCCCTGGACATCTCTATGACCTAGCAGCCAAACGGTTAAAACCTATTCCTGCTGCAGTGTTGTGGTCACTGTGCATTCTGACTGGACGGTACCCATGACACACTGCTTCTTAGCTATTTTTAATGTCACCAACAAACTGAGATGATATTACCAGGTAGTTACTCCACTGCACCCCCCCACCATCATCCTCTTTGGCTGCCTTCCATCTATTGAGGCTCTGAGCTCTATCTGGGAGTGGCTCCCCAGAGAAGGCAGTGGCTTGGCAGCGTCTCACATACTTGGGCACAACATTTAAGTGAGGAGGTGGAGAACCAAAAAGCCTCAGGCAGGGGCCCTGGGTGGCTCAGTTGGTTGAGCATCTGCCTTCAGCTCTTAACTCATGATCCTGGGGTCCTGGGATCAAGTCCCACATCAGGGTCCCTACTCAGGAGAGAGTCTGCTTCTCCCTCTCCCTCTGCCCCTTCCCCTGCTCTCAAATAAATAAAATCACTTTCTCTCAAATAAATAAAATCTTAAAAATAAATAAATAAATAAAATCACTTTCTCTCAAATAAATAAAATCTTAAAAAAAAAAAAAAACCTTTAGGGACGCCTGGGTGGCTCAGTGGTTGAGCATCTGCCTTTGGCTCAGGGCGTGATCCCGGGGTCCCAGGATGGAGTTCCGTATCGGGCTCCCTGCTTGGAGCCTGCTTCTCCCTCTGCCTGTGTCTCTGCCTCTCTCTCTCTGTCTCTTATGAATAAATAAATAAAATCTTTTTTTTAAAAAAACCTCAGTCATCAAGAAATAATATCTTGATGCAATATTTTAAAGAACCAAAATCAATGCTCCCAAATATACCCATGGTGGAAAAAACATCCAGATTTTAAACGAAGACAGACTGCTTTGGTTGTTTGTCTTATGACCCTGCATGATTGTGCAGTGGGAACTGTCCAAACAGACCAGAGTTTGCATTCCCAGCTGGGTGGGTCTTCGCAGGTTGACGATGACATGCAAACGTATCAGACAATGCAAGGCTTTATGTATAGTCATGATGCTGGGGCTTGGGGTTTCATTTTCTTTTGTTTTGTTTGGGGGGGGTTGAGTAGAGCTTTATTTTTTCTGTTTGGTTCAAACTATGGGAGGATATTTTGCTAAGTGTAGAGGGGCACACATGTGTCCTTCAGCTTTGGATTCCCAGATGGCACAGCACTAGGTCTCAACTGTTCTACTCAAAGCCTGCAAGTGCCATTACTGCTGTATGCCTCTGTTGCTTTCCTGGTTGACCCCTAGCCGTTCATCAGCTCTAGCTCTAAAACCTCAGTCCCAGGACGCCTGGGTGGCTCAGTGGTTGGGCATCTGCCTTCAGCTCAGGGTGTGAGCCCAGGATCTGGGATCAAGTCCCAAATCAGGCTCTCTGTGGGGGGCCTGCCTATGTCTCTGCCTCCCTCTCTCTCTCTCTGTGTGTGTGTGTGTGTCTCCCATGAATAGATAAATAAACCTTTAAAAAATAAATAAAACTGCAGTCTCAGAGCAGAGGGAAAATATTTGGTGACAGACCAGGAGGAAGAATGAGAAATGGGAAGAAGAAATAGATTTCTGCCTTGCTGGAGGGAAGGTAGAAGGGATGAAAGGAACAGAGAAGGCTGAGTTCAAGGACAATGAGGACCTTAGCACCCAGATTATGGTCTCCAATGACCATCTGCCATTCAAAGAAACCAGGGCTGATTTCTGTTCTGGGACAGGAAAAATACAAGATGAGCCTAGAACATCTCATACTAAAGAGTAAAGAAACTTTAATATAATTAAGGGGAATCCAAAGTCAATGTGGGAAACCTTCCTTCAGAGAAAAACCTAAGAATAATATCTGCAGAAGGAGTTTCAGAATTCAGGAAATAATGGGTCTGGATGGTGAACAACATCTGATAAAACCATTGGGTGAAAGGCAGATGGGAACTTTACAATAAATAGGCTGGGCTCATAGCCCAAACTGGCCAATCCACCTCAGCATCTGAAGAGGGACAATCAGATATTCTGTTCTTTCGGATGTGAGGCTTTGGAAAGAACACAGCACCACCCATGAAGTAATTCTTGCGAAATAAATAATTGTGAGTCTAATCAAGGTTCTAGATCAAAAGTTACCAGTCTTGGGGCACCTGGGTGGCTCAGCCAGTTGAGCAACTGATCCTTGGTTTCGGCTCAGGTGGTGGTCTCAGGGTTGTGGGATGGACCCCCATGTCGGACTCTGCACAGGGTATGGAGCCTGCTTGGGATTCTCTCTCTCTCCCTCTGCTCCTCCTTCCACTCTCTCATGCTCTCTCTCTCTCAAAAAAAACAAAAACAAAAACAAAAACTACCAGTCCACAGGAAAAGCAGGGGAGAGAGGAACATGACAAATAACACCACAGGCACAAGATCAGCCCAGTCAGACCACAGGAAACCCTACAGGACAAATAGTCTGTTTTCTCCCACAGATAAATGGCATTGGGAAGGAAAGAAAGAAAGAAAGAAGAAAGAAAGAAAGAAAGAAAGAAAGAAAGAAAGAAAGAAAGAAAGAAAGAAAGAAAGAAAGAAAGAAAGAAAGAAAGAAAGAAAGAAAGAAGAAGAAGAAGAAGAAAGAAAGAAAGAAGGAAGGAAGGAAGGAAGGAAGGAAGGAAGGAAGGAAGGAAGGAAGGAAGGGGAAAGGAAAACGTCACTGATTAAAAGAGATTTAGAGGCATATCAAGCAAAGGTAACACAGAGACCTCATTTGGATCCTGATTGGAAGAATCAATTGCAAAATCAGACATTTTTGAGACAATCCGGGACACTTAAAAATGAAGTGGGTATTTGACAATTGTAAGGAATCAGTGCTAATTTTATTGGGTGTGATGTGGTTTTGTATTCATGTTTTTAAAAAAAAGGAGCGAGGGGCACCTGGGTGGCTCAGTAGTTGAGCATCTGCCTTTGGCTCAGGTCATGATCCTGAGGTCCTGGGATCGAGTCCCACATTGAGCTCCCTGCAGGAAACCTGCTTCTCCCTCTGCCTGTGTCTCTGCCTCTCTGTGTGTGTCTCTCATGAATAAATAAGTAAAATCTTTAAAAAAAATAAAATAAAATCTTTTAAAAAATTTAAAGGAGTGGGAAGACTGTTTCTGATAAAGGTACATAGCAAGTGAAATAGGATGTTTTGGATTTACTTTAAAATACTCCAACAGTGGAGTGCTTGGCTGGCTCAGTGAGTAGAGCATGCAACTCTTGATCTCAGGGTTGTAAGTTTGATCCCCTTGATGGGTGTAGAGGTTACTTTATAACCATTTAAAAAACTTTTTCTTTTCTTTTTTAAAGAGGGGATGTGCCCACACGCATGCACGTGAACAGGGGTTGGGGGAGAGGGGCAGAGGGAGAGGAAGAGAGAGAGAATCCCAAGCAGGCTACTCACCCAGCTTGGAACCCTACACAGGGGCTAATCTCTCGACCCTGAGATCACGACCTGAGCCAAAATCCAGAGTCCCATGTTTAACTGACTGAGCTGCCCAGGCGCCCCCCCAAATTTAAAGACCTTAAATTTTTTTTTTCAAAAACAAAATAAAATAAAACACTCCACCAAAAGAAATAGCTGGGAGACGGGAGACAGGAGACAGGAGGGGAGAGGAAGGCCATGGGTGACGAAGAACAGCAAAACATTGTTGAAGCAGGTGATGGGGACACCAGGGTTCCCAGTACCATTCTCTCTACTTCTATGTGTTTGAAGTTTTCCATAATAAAATAACACGAAGAGCAAAGGGGTCCTGAGCTTCCTCCCAAGCAGACTGGCTGGGAGGACCATGGCCCCCAAGACAGAAGGCGTCTGGGAGTAACAGCTGAGCTGGAGAGAGCCTTGTAGGCAAGTCCATGCCCCAGAGGCACCAGCCACAGCAGACGAATCCCCGTGGCACGATCACACCAAAGCATCCAGATTGAATACAGCACTTAGGACATGTGCCAGACACGGCATTAGCTCTTCCAGTCCTGCCCACGACAGTAAAAGTTGGTTCTATTAATATGCCCACTTCTTTTTTTTTAAGATTTTATTTATTTATTCATGAAAGACACACAGAGAGAGAGGCAGAGACACAGGCAAGGGGAGAAGCAGGCTCCAAGCTGGGAGCTCCATGCAGGACTCGATCCCGGGACCCCAGGATCATGACCTGGGCCAAAGGCAGACGCTCAACCGCTGAGCCACCCAGGCGCCCCTATACCCACTTTCTTGATGAGGAGACAGAGGCACAGGAAGGTAGATAGCCTGTTCCAGGTCAGGAATTCACACCTGCATAGGCTGGCACGCAAACCCAGGCAGGCTGCGCCTGGCTATTTCCGAGTGGGGCTGTGGACGGAGGGGGAACCCTTCAGCGGCGAGCTCTGTGGCCCCTAGAGCTAGCACATCCCCGAAGGCCACTTTGTCACCAACCCAGGCAAAGGAGACAGAGAGGAAGAGAAATGATCATTACAGAAATCTTCGGAGCCGGACAGTTAGCGCACCACCCTGCGGATTATTTAAGACGACAACTGTGACAACTGCTCGGACACCCAGCCGAGTGCCTGGCTCGCAGCGCAGGACAAGAAAGGACAACCAATAGGATCAGTTTCTCGATATTGTGATTATGGACGAGCTCAGAGCTTTCCCCTAAGCCACTCTGTTTTATCTCTTAGTCCCTTTAAGTTGTCCCAAGGTGGGCCAGGCTGGTGGCCCCGGGCTTCCTGCCGGTAGAGCCATACCCGTGATCACATCACTCAAAGGGGGAATGTCCCTGTCAGCCGATGATGATGACGGGATGATTGGGGTGGGGTCCAGCCAAGCCCTAAGAGATGATTCAGCCATAAAAAGGAATGAGGTGAGCTACAGTGTGTACTTTTGATGATGTTCTAGAAACAGAGGACATGGCTGAGTCACAGAGTGAACGTACTACAAATGCCACTGCATCATACACTTGAAAATGATGAATTCCATGTTATGTGAATTTTACCCAATTAAAAAAAAAATGCAGGGCTGCCTGGGTGGCTCAGCGGTTGAGCATCTGCCTTTGGCTCAGGGCGTGATCCCGGGGTCCTGGGATTGAGTCCCGCATCGGGCTCCCCATGGGTAGCCTGCTTCTCCCTCTGCTTATGTCTGCGTCTCTCATGAATAAATAATAACAATTATTATTTATTGGTATTAATAGTATTACTAATAAATAATAATAATAAATAAATAAAATCTTTAATAAAAAAACGCCAGTGTCACGAAGCCAAGGGAGGGGTAAGGGATTGGTCCCCGTTGAATGGGGAGCACACAGACAGGACAACCAAATGGGATGTGACATCCTGGGCTGGAGCCCAGAGCTGGAGACACCTCTTCACCGCAAAGGGCGTACCCGAACATCTGAGCAAGGTTGCATATGGTCTGTAGCCTAGACAATAACGTCCCACCAAATGTTACTTTTCTTTTCTTTTTTTTTTTAAGATTTTATTTATTTATTCATGAGACACAGAGAGAGAGAGAGAGAGAGGCAGAGACACAGGAAGAGGCAGAGGGAGAAGCAAGCTCCATGCAGGGAGCCCGATGTGGGACTTAATCCCGAGTCTCCAGGATCAGGTCCTGGGCCGAAGGCGGCGCTAAACCATGAGCCACCCGGGCTGCCCCAACAACGATAACTGCTCTGCTCCTGCTGGTGATGCTCCTTGTTCTTAAGGAATAAACGCTAAAGTACTTAAGGGCCAGAGGGCGTGATGCCTACAGCTTACTCTCAGATTGCTCAGGAAAACGGATGATAGATAGAGATCGATAGATAGTCAGATGATTGATAAAGCAAATTTGGAGATTCTGGGTAAAGAGTATATGGGAATTCTTTGTTAGTCTTCCAATGTTTCTGTAAGTGTGAAAATTTTTCAAAATAGAAAATTCAAATTGTTGAAATACTTCTATTGGTGAAGAGCCCCTGCCGGGAGCCTGACCCCTGCCATCCCCACCACCACCACCCTCTGCACCCTGGCTTCTTCCCATTTCTTCTAGGACCCACCTGCCCCATCCCTCCACTCCCCCACTCCATCCCCATGCTCCAGTTACTAAAGAGTTAATGCCAGGCCCAGCAGGAGGCCCTAGCCCAGCTCCCTGGGCCTCTGTACCTTAGTGGTTGCTCAATAATGTGAGTGTCTGCCCTGGATGCAGTAAAGGAAGCTTTTGCTGCTGGTTCCATGAACTCCCAACCCTCCTTGGCTGCAGAGTGACTCAAACTCCAAAAAGGGAGTGTCCATCCCCACTGACAAAGCTCCTTCCTGGCCTGAGCTCATGAGGGCCCCTTGCCTTTCACTGACTTCATGAGGGCAGAAAAAAAAATGCTGATTCTAACACCCTGTGGCTTTCAGGATCCTCCAGTGCAAGAGGCTTGAAAAGTTCTGCCCTTGCAGCATCCCTAAAAGGATGGGAAATAACTGGAGTGTCCAGCAAGAGGGGATTGGCTAAATTACTTGATGGCACATTTGTAACAACAAAATGCTATGCAACTATCTGAAAGAATGGGATGTTTGTGAACCGATGTGAAAGGAGCTCTGAGATCTAGGGGAACATATAGAAGCAAGGATGGGAGCCTGGAGGGGGTTGCCCAGCTGGCTCAGTGGGGAGTGCAACTCCTGATCTGTGCTTTGAGCCCCACATTGTGTGGAGATGACTTAAAACCACAAGAAGGGACGCCTGGTGGCTCGGTGTTGGTTAAGTGTCTGCTTTCTACTTTCGCCTCAAGTCATGATCCCAGGGGTCCTGGGATGGAGCCCAGCGTAGGCCTTCCCACTCAGCAGGGAGTCTGCCTTCCCCTGACCCATGCGCTCCCTCTCTCTCTTTCTCTCTCAAAATAAATAAATAAATAAAATCTTTAAAGATATACTTTAAATAAAATAAAATCTTAAAAAAAATAATAACAAGGAAGGACTAGATGGTGTATAAAGCAGCCTACCTACAAAAGAAGACTCTCCCTCCCTCCTCTCTCTCTCCCTCCCTCCTTTCCTCCTCTGTATCTCTGTCTCTACTTCTAGCCTGTACCTGTCTCTCTCTCCAGAGCAGCTCTAGAAGTAGACAGAGGAAGCTTGTACCAGGGGTTGCGGTGGGCAGACGGTGTGGGGGTGGGGGCTGGGTCGTAGGGGGTGGGGGTGGGGGGCAGACATTGAAAGGAAGCATTTCACCGTATATGTCTATATTTTTCTTCCTCTTGTATGAGGAACCATACCAGTGAGTGCACTGCCCATTCCAAGAAACAGATACTATAAAGCAAATACAAAAGAATTTGCAGTTCCCCAC